GTGGTGCTGGAGGCCGAGGGTCACCACGACGCGGAAGCGAGCGCAGACCTCCCCTCCATGTCCGCGGTGCCCCATTTCCCCTCGCTCGGCGCCGAGGCCCAGGCTGGGGCTCGGGGCGCTTTCGAGGGCGGCGTCTACGTGGAGCACAACGGCGAGCACGACGGGGCGCAAGACGTGGGGCAGTACGACGGGGACGCGCTGATGCCACGGTCGCGCCCGATCCTGCGAGCGACGGCGACGTGCAGCCCCCCTAGGATACGATCAACTTTGACCTTTGGGCGCGCTTGGAGGCAGCGGTCGAGGAGCTGCCAGCGGGCCACCCAGAGCGCTGCTGGGAGGTGGCGGTCGCTGACTACATCCGCGTGGAGGACCTCTGGATGGCGACCCTCGAGACGTTGAGGTCGGCGGACGATGACTCGATGATGGACGCCGAGATGGAGTGCAGCGAGGTTGAGGCCGCACTCCGGGAGGCTGAGGAACAGATGGACCTGCTTCGGAGCCGCGGCTAGTGGAGTGAGGCAGGAGCCGTGCGGGCTTGAGCGCCCGCCCATTCATGCCCCCTGACTGTCAGAGGAGCCTGCCGCTGGCACGCGTGAGAGAGTGGCGCGGGCATCGGTGGCACGGCAGTCGGCGGAGAGATGTGGTGGGCGCGAGCGCTTCGGCTCCGACAACCCCTGGAGAGCGGGATCATCGTCAGCGTCATCGTCATCATCATCATCATCATCATCATCATCATCATCATCATCATCACCATCATCATCATCATCATCATCATCATCATCATCATCATCGTCGTCGTCGTCGTCGTCGTCGTCGTCGTCGTCGTCGTCGTCGTCGTCGTCGTCATCGTCAGCATCTTCATCATCGCAACCACCATCCTCCTCCTCATACTCATCATTATCACCAACAACATCAACCTCCATATCATCATCAACAGCGACATTATCAATAGCATCATCATTAGCACCATCACCATCACCATCACAATCACCATAGCGACTTTCATTATCGTCAGCAGCATCATCAGCATCACCCTCATCATTCTCATCGACAGCAGTACCACAACCACTATACATCCATCATCAGTAGCACAAACATCATCAGCAGCATACGCATCCTCATCCGCATCATCATCACCAGCGTCATCATCATCAACAACATCAGCATCATCATCTTCATCAGTATTATCACAATCATCGTCAACATCGACAGCATCACCAGCGTTGTCGTCATCATAAGTATCTCCGGCACCATCCACATAATCATCATCACCGCCACATTCATCCGCATCATCACCACCATCAACATCATCATCACTATCATCATCATGATCATCATCCTCATCATCATATTCATCATCGTCACGGCCATCTTCATGGTCATCATCATAAGAAGCAGCAACAGTCGCAGCAGCAGCATCATCATCACCATCATCATCATCATCAGCATCATCATCACCATCATCACCATCATCATCATCACCATCATCATCATACGTAATCCTTGTTCAGGCTGCGGAATTGAGAAAGGCCCACCTCTCGGCGTCCGCCTCCCCCGCCCCGCGCGCGCGGGAATGCTCCTGACCGGGCATGCTCTTCAGCTGCACAAGGGGCACCTGTGGAGAGGCTTCCAAACGAGGATTGAAACCATCACATGCGAACTGAGGAAACGATCTGTCCGCTTTTGCCCTCTCCTGCCTCTGCATGTTCATGTCAGGCATCGCTTCACCTTTCACACTTTGTGACCGCAGCAGTTTCCAAGGGACGAAATTCTGAAGCACAGGGCTCCTTACTGGAAATGGCGGGGGGGGGGCGAGAGGACAGAAGCTTCGCCCCACATCAAGAACAGGTCTCTTGCCCCCCTGGCACACACACACACACGCGCACGCACGTAAACACACACACAGAACAACGCACACACGAACACACAGAGACACGAGCAAACACACACACACACACACAACACACACAAAACACACACACACACACAAACAAAAAAACGCATGTTCCTGCACATCCGCGCCCCGGCAGCCCGCCATTAGTCGACCTCCGCCTCTCCCCGAGGACCCTTGCGATGGCAAGGGGGGTTCCAGGGAGGAGCGCCTACCCCGAGTGGTTCGGGGCCGACGCCCAGTCACTCAAGGCGATCAATACATGAGCAGCGCGCAAATCCAACATGGAGTTACCACTGGGAGTACGGCATATGGCCTTTGCTTCTCGTATGGCTGCGCAGTGGACCAGCAACAAGGACAACACCACTGTCCGAGCAGACCCCAAACTTCGGCGGGTAGTAATGCTGTAACAATGAAATGTAAACGGTGGATAGGCAGGCAAGGGGAATGCAATCATGGAGAGAGAAAGGAGGAAGATGAGGGATGGTCGAACCGAGAGGAAGAGAGAGAGAGAGAGAGGGAGAGAGAGAGAGAGAAAGGGAGAAGGGATAAGGAAGGAGGAAGAAGAAGAAGAAAGGAGGAAGGACGGAGAAGAGAAAATAATGAGGAGCGAGGAGCGTGGAAGGAGTGAGGGGCGAGGGAGGAGGGAGGAGGGAGCAGGGAGTGGTAGTGGTGAACGGTGGCATGAATGTAAAATTGCGATCACATGCTGGCAAGTCGGATTGGAAGAAGGCCGGTGGACGACTATACACAGCCACACGTAAAAACCATCAGAATTTGAGTTCAAGTCTGCCCTGCCATGGTGCTATACGCTCGAAGCGTCTGAAACGGGCCTGCTCCCTGTTGGCTCGGATGCGAGTTCCCTGCTCCACTGAAAAGACCACAGACGGCACAGGGGGAGGAGGGAGCACGCACGAAGGATTCGGGGACAAGGACCAGGAGGATGGGGCAGGGCGGAAGAGTAAAAGGGGGATATAGGGAAAAGGATAAACCACTGCAGGGGAACGTCGCGCAGTGCACAGACGACCACCTTAGGGAGGGGCGCCACGAATGGACGTGCCACCCATGCCCTGGCGCATGCCGGGGCCCACCGAGAGGATCACGGCCGCCCGCAGACAGGGCCAGAAGTGTTATGAATGCGGCACCGAATTCGATGTTAGCGCGGCCACCGTGTGGAGGCCGCCAGTGCCCAGAAGTAAAGGAACTATGGTTCCACCAGGAGCCGAGCCCATCGGGTTTCAGGGTCCGTGGCCAGGAGCGGCCTGGGGCCAAGGATTGGCCGACCATCGGCCTTGCCCTCGTCGGCGGGATGCCGTCCCGAGAGAAAAAGACGTCGGTTTCGTTGCCGCTCGGACATGATGTGCCCTTCGTGCGCTTGACAATAGATCATGAGATGGCCTGACGTGCAAGAGCTGTACAATCCGCACGACACGCATAGCACTACCTGGCCCGAGGAAACCCAAAGTCGGTGGCCCCCCGCAGATTCCGCGGGAACCACGCCGAGCAACGGCACAGGGGCAGCGGGAATGGTTTCCTCAGCCCTGGTTGGCCGATTGTTCCGTGCGAGGGTAGTGCGACGACGCTCGGCACTAGGTATAAGGGCGGTTCCGGGGGTGGGTAGCAGGCACAGCGGCAGCAACACTGCCCTCTCCATGGGCGAAATCTCGTTCACTTGCAGCATCAGAGGGGCTGTACTCTACAGTGGGGTTAAAGTCAACTCGCCTCTTACATTGCGCACACTGGGAGATATGGGACGCTCTCGCGTCCTGACATCATTCGGCTTCGAGCGCTGATGGCGAGCCTCCAGAGGCTCACCTTCTCTCTCACGCTTCAGACCCCCCCCTGTCCCGAGGAGCACCATGGAAGTCCACGAACCCAGGAGGGCCTAGGCAAGGGGAGGGCTGCGAGGTAGCGGCAGCTCGGCCGTCGGCGTCGGTGCCTGACGACGCGGGACCAATGCCCACCGCCTCTACCACCCACCCTCTGCCGAAGGCCCAGGATCGCCAGGAACCCCGACGTTCGGGAGAGCCGGAACGTCTTCCAAAGGTCCAAAGGCAAATCCGCGGGCCAGGCACCTCTCGGCGCCCTCCCGCTTCCCCGAGGTTTCCGTTTTCGCACCAACCCTACTAACATTACAACGCCAGAGGTTGTCTCGGGCCTTGATCATCACATGACGCAGGTTCGGGTCAATTGGCACTTCCGAAGGGGGCTCTCGCATCAGCCTGGCCTTCTTGCTAGCACGGGTATCAGTGTGGACGCGGCCAGACCCAACATGATGCAAGTGCGCGGCCACCAGCCAGCGCAACACATGTCGAGTTGACCTCAAGGCCGCCCGCATCGCTCGCTTGGCTAAGCTTCCAGGCGCGTGGAGGTTTCGCCCTTGCCTCGCGGCCTGATCAGCCCAGCGATTGCCTCTAGCCTCCAGAGGGCCCCCCACGCGGTGCCCCCGAACGCGCGTGACCCGCACGGCCTCTCCAAGGCCCCCGAGATCATCAACATCGGCCCAAATGGAGGCCCATAGATCTGCGTTGGGCCTGCGAGGTCCACAGGTTAAAGCGGGGCCTGCAGCAAGCCCGTCTATGACCCCAAGAAATCTGCATGAACATGTACAGGTGGGATACATACACTCAGCACTTAAAGAAAAGGCATAAAGTTCAGCGCGCGGTGAGCTCTGAGAGGGCCCTGGGAGAGCACCGTAGACCACCAGATCAATACCACTTGGCCCTTCCCGCAACTTGGCGAGCCCCCAGCCCGCCCCCGCAGCTTCTGGCCAGAACCATGCGCCCTGGCACGCACCGTCCGCGAAGAATTCCCCCGTGACCACGTCAAGAGGGCCGCGCTGCACATGCCACCGTTGCGAGCCATCGCGCCTTGGCAGCGGTGGAAGGCGCGATCTCGGAGCTTGACCTCTCGTCCAGAACCAAGACCCCGCCGAAACTGCTGGAAACCCACGCATTTCGACACTGTCTAAAGCCTGCCGTCGCTGGTGTTCCCTGCCATCGCAGCACCAGGAGATGCGGTAGCTGTTGCACTGATCATCTTCACAGCGCGGGCATTCGGAGGTGCGGGCGACGAGACGGGGACCAGAAACCACGGCCCACGACAGTACGCAACATAGCGGCTTCCTCATATGTAGGAGCCCAGAGCACCGACCTAGACGTACCTTCCTCTGCCTGGCGATCCTCATCTGACTCGTCCTTGGGAGCATTTGGGGCACCTTTGAGGAGGCCCATGATGGGCTCAATCCAATAACCGATGGGGCTCCTCGGGGTCCATGGCGAGGTCCGCAGGGCTGTTCCTGTTGGCCCGTGCTTCCCAAAGGCGTCGCACACCAGCAGCGCGGGCAAGGTCTCGCACATTGTGTCGCCTGTGTCTGTGACAAGGACGAACGCAGAGGTAGAGCGCCAGCCCAATCCTCCCAGCGCAAGTAGCACAGCACCAGTGGTGCCTACCGCCTTTGCCCAGGGCTTGGTGGCCTTGGGGACGCGAAACACCTGCCTCCTCCACGCCTGCTGCAGAGTGCCACGAGGTAGGTTCTTGTCCCAGCCCAGGAGGGCCCACTGGAAGACGGGTTGGGCCCAACTAGCAAACTGAAGATCCTCGGAGCGCGTGTGCCCTGGAGACAGGAGGTGATCCATGATGGCGCGGAGGCTCCAGGGGTGTACCGCGTGCTTCTCATGACGCCCCGCATCTGACGCACGAGAGAGGGCGGGGCGCCATGCGCCCAAACTCCACACGGCATAGCCGACGGCAACGCCTGTCGCGCACACCGCGATACCACTGCGCCAGCCTTCCGAAGGGTGGAGATGCGAGGGAGACGTCTCTTGGCGGTTCGAATGCGACACCGAAGTTTAATATATCGAAGCGGCCGTCCTGCTGCGACTTCTATTCCCAGAACCTCCAATGCCGTGACACACCGACAACTGAAAAGTTTCACCCTGCCCTGCACGACTCGACCGATATTGGGGCCACTCGGTGTGATGGCCACGCTGCGGGCGGCGGGGTTGAGATCAACCCCTTCCAAGACACCCACCACAATTATCAGAAAAAATATTGGCAGCTGCTTCGATAATCATAATTGCTGCCTCCCTGATCACGATCGTGACATCGTCGGCGCGCAGATCAATCGTCTTCGAGATCCGCGTTCTGCGTTTAAATAGGGAGTCGACAGCCTGGCAGGACACACCTAGTCGCCCATACTGGGCGCGAGAGGCAGCCTTCCCACGAGACACGTCGTGCGCCCAAGTACATCCCCACGGCGAGGGCAAGCAGGCGACCTGGAAAAGAATGCACGACAGCCACACCTATCAGTCGCCTCCAAGGCACACGATCGAAACACTTCTCGATATCCACAATAGCTTGCATTGCGGCGTGGCTGTCGGCATTCTGAAAAGATGCAGTTTCAGCCTGTACTAGAAGCCGCGCTGCGACATCCGTTGTGGACTTCTACGCCCCCAGTGCCAAATACGACCCCCCCCCCCCCCCCAGGCTGGATGCTCAAGACCGTGTCCAATCGAGCCCTGCCTTGCCCCGTAATTGAAATACCGAACTCAGCAAGGCAATAGGACGAGATCCTCCTGTAGGTTCGGCTAGGAGGACAATGCGGGTGTTCTGCATAAGCGTAGGCCAGACACCCCAGGACTCACATAGGTGCATGGTGTACCATAGGAGCGAGAGGCCGCCGTTGGAGACGAGAGCCCAGCGACGCGGTCTGAACCTGCCCGGCCCAACTGCAGTGCTTGATGAAAACATCAGCGCGGCCCTACGAAGGTCTGATATCCGCAATGGTGGATATCTGGGCCCTGTTTCCAGATGGTCCTGCAAGTCCCCCACGAGGTTGTCGTCTGGCGCCACCTGGATCCCCGAGACACTTCCAGGGGCCGCATCAAGGCCATCCCAAATCTTGGCCCAGGATCTTCGCTGGGGGCCCACGATGTCCTTTGGGAGGCTGGAGGAGCCGCTGGGGGCGTCCACGCGCGAAGAGTTGCCGCCCCTTCAGCTTCGTCCATCGGCGCACTGCGCCAGGCGATTGCACTAGAGACTTGCGCAAGCAAGCACGAAACGTCTTTGCGCGCTTCTGGGCGAGCTTGTTCTCAATCACTTCAGCCTGCCCCCCGAGAAAGGCGCCAAGGAACAGCAGCACGCGCGGGCGCATGCGAGGGGGCGGGGCAATGATACAGACAAGAAAATGAACGACATCATCGAGAACACGCCGCGCAATGTGCTGACGCAGTTTCCGATCAGGCCCCCTTCCCCCGAAAAAATCAACCATGCACATCCAAGCGTGCACCTGCTGAACATATGACGCGTGCTGACAGCGCCTCTGAAGATCCAGAATGCGAACCTGAAGCGTACGCATTGCCCTGGATTGCGTCGCGCTCGCTGGTTGCTGCCGTGCTAAGGCCCCCCCCCCCAGGGTTGAATATCGACACTGAGGGCCATCACTGCGTCCGCGACTTGCAGACACAGGCTTCTCAAGCTGGAAGATCGGGCAAAGCGCAGTCTCCATCCCCATGTACAGAGTGCGCGCCAATGCGTTGAGACGCTCCAGTCGCTCCTCTGGACCGCCGAAACCTTTAGCTGAGTCCTCGTGCCTGGTGCCCGTCCAGTCGACTCCTGAGTCCCCCCGCTGATCACACAAAGGTTCCCCATCCCGATCTTCAGCGCCCTGCGCAGCTGGCAGGGGCTGCCGCGGGAAGACGCGTGGCCCTTGCAGCAGTCGTACTCGCTGAGCCCTCGGCCGCACCCCCAGCGCGGCTTGAAGTGGGTTATGCTGGCGAGGGGGAAATCCTGGAACTCGATCAGGGGTGGGCATCTGAGCTGCAATAAAATCGCTCACAAGCCTGTCGTCCAAGATAGACATGTTGCCTGTGCCAGGGTCTCTGTAGGTGCCTCGGGCGGGCTTCACCACATCGAAGCCCGAAGTACATCAAGGTGAAGGTTCCGATCTGCAGATTTAGAAAACGTAAAACGTAAAACCTGAGACATTCGCTAAGACGGGCCAGCAAGGCCGCACTGCTCCCACCGAGGCGCATGCCTTGCTCAAGATAGACAGATCCCACAATAAGCCCACCGCGTAGCCCCGTCTGGACCTGCATGCACACCAAGCGACCTGGAACAATGCCATGCGTCTTCGTCAGGGCGCCAAAGGTACTGCACTGATATGTGAGCGAATGAAAATACCTACTCCTCCAGTAGGCCTCTGGTGCGTGGTCTGCGTAGCGCCACTAAGGAAGCCTGCCGTCCTCTCTTACGACACCACTTCTCCGCAAGTGTCCGCTTGTCGCCAAATAGATGTCACTCTTGGCCAGTAACCACGGCCGCTCGACTGTGCTGTAGGAAATCCTGCATCTGAGGCCATCCTGAACTATTGCAAGTGACAACGTTGAGCCCATGACGTCTGCGTCGAGCTCGCCGAACGCGTCGAGGACTGACTCTCTGACGAGGCGACGTCACTGCCATCCTTTCCAGCAAAACTGGCGAGGTCAACCTCCCAGTTAGCCGCCAGGTTACATACCGCACTTGCGCCCTTGCAAGGCCGACTGCTGGCTAGCTCACAAGGTGCGGACCCACACGGTCCCTGCGCAGGCTTGGCACCGACGCCGGGCGACGGGATGGAGGACTCCCGTGGCACAGCGTGCCCAGCAAAATCGGCGACGAACACCTCCCTGTTAACCGTCAGGTTGCCTACCGCATCTACACCCTTGTGAGGCCGACCACTGGCTAGCTCACAAGGTGCGGACACATCTGGTCCCTGTGCAGACTTGGCACGGGCGCCTGACGGCGGGATGGAGGATTCCCATGACATCCGATTGCTTTCCGAGCTGCTGGCAGGAGCCGCCCCTGGTAAGTAGGAATTCCAGTTCCAGCTTGAGACCATTTCAGCATCCAGGAATTCAATGTAATCTGATTTGGGGAGCACCACCGCACGCCATTCGCGTAGACGTTGTTCCCACTTCGAACCATTATCATTGTGCCTTGCTCTCCTGGTACGTGGAAGAGGACGCTGAAGCCTGCGAAAATGTTCGGCTCCATATACTGATGGCTGCACCAGATATAGGGAAAAGGAAAAAGGAAGAGCGGAGGAGGATAAGGGCGAGAAGGATAGGGCGGGGGGGGAAGGGCAAGGGGGGGAGCACAAGGGAGGAAAGGGGGATAGGGGGGGAGGATGAGGTAGGGCGGAAGACGACAGGGGATGGGAGAATGGGGGGGAGGGTGGAGGGGGAGGGGGGAGGAAAAGGCCTTGATCCTGAAAAGCTTACTGTCGAAGGCGGCGTTCACTGTGAAGCGGTCGCCGTCCTGGGCCAGCCCACCCCGAGAAGCGGCAACATGTCCCCTGACCATCGTCCCTTGCCGCCTCCTTTACTTGACTAGCTCCCCCTCCCCAGATGCTTCCCGAGAACAAGGTATTCGATCCTCATCCTCCTCCTCCCCTCTCCACCCTTTCTCCCACCCCCTTCCCACGCCTCCCTCGCGTTGCCCTCCTGCACGGCACCGGGTCGTACGTCCGGCTTCCATATCAGGTTGGATTATGTCTCAGTGTCCTTTATGATGCGGACTGCAAATCGGAGCGGCAGTATGGGATCTAAAGCTAAGCTGAGCGGTGCTAAACGAAGCGAGGATCCGACATGCTACCCCTTTCCAGGCTAACCCTTCTAATCCAAGCTATACGACGTTGAGGAAAACTGCATAAGCAAGACTGGGCGGGGCCAAGCTGGGCCGAGCTATGCTGACTGTGCTGACTGGGATGGAATGGATAAGACGGGCTAAGCTGGGCTGAGGAGGGCTGGGCCGAACAGAGGTGAGCTAAGCTAGACAGGCGTCTCGACATATCGGGATATCTTGGGGCACGGCAAGTTCAGCCGAACTTGTGTCATCTCATGTGCGATGTGCAAAAAACAGCTAAGCTAAAACAGGCTGGCACTCGCTGGGGGTAAGCAAAACTGAACTGAAAGTAGCTTGGCCAAGCTCTTTCTTTCTTACTTGTACGATACTATATGTAATGATATTGGCATAGACTACGGGAAGCTCAGCGTAAACCGCACCCGTCTGTCACAAGCTCAGCAAACAGAGGCTGAGCTGAGCTGGGCTGTAAATTTGCCATTAGCTGTGCCGAGCAGAAATGAGCGAGGCAAGATGAGCAAAGCTAAGATAGCCTAAGTTAGGATTGGCGATATCCAATGAGTTTATCGCTATATTTTTTCAAAAAAACAAATGCGGGACAAAATGCGAATAGCGGCAAGTAGCGAATGACGTAGCTACGCTGTCTCGCGAACCTGCATGGGCTGATCCCTGTTTTGGTTTGGCTGGTGTCCCCCGTCTTTGCTTCACGAATGTTCCTCCACTTCCGTTCCCATGACAAATAATCCAACATTGGTCTAGGGTGGTTCCTCTTCCAACCCCCTCCTTCCCCTTCGGGGAAGGGTGTACCTTCCCCTTACCCCCTCCTCTGAACCTGGACGGGGCTGGTCGCGAGCGGTCAGGACGTCCAAAACGGCCTCGGCGAGGAAGCCAAAATCACTGGTGTTACTAAGGTTTTGAACCCATTGTGGCCCCAGGGCAACGCTCAAAAAAGTTCTGCTCTTTTTTGGTCGATGTCCACCAAGATGGCCCCGAGAAGCGCCCAAGAGGCCCCAAAATGGCCCCATGATGGCCCCTGGAGGCCCCCAAGAGGCCCCCAGGAGAACCCCAACAGGACCCCAAGCGGCCCCAAGAGCCCCCCCCCGAGGCACCCAAGGCGCCCAAGAGCCCCCCAGGACCGCCAAAAGACCCCCAAGACGTCTCAAGAGGCCAACAAGTAGCGCGCCCAAGAGATATCTCAGGAGGCTCCGAAAGGCATCCAAAAGACCTCTGGCCCTTTTGCTCACCCTCCTCCTGCTCCTGCTCCCCCTTGCTCCTCCTCCTCCTCCTCCTCCTCCTCCTCCTCCTCCTCCTCCTCCTCTCCTCCCCTCCCTCCTCCCTCCTCCTCCTCCCTCCTCCTCCCTCCTCCCTCTCCTCCTCCTCTCCTCTCCTCCTCTCCTCCTCCCTCCTCCTCCTCCTCCTCCTTCCCTCCTCCCTCCTCCTCCTCCTCCTCTCCTCCTCCTTCCTCCTCCTCCTCTCCTCCTCTCCTTCTATTTCTTTTTATTCTTCTTATTGTTGTTATTGTTATTATTATTGTTATTCTTCTTCTTATTATTCTTATTATTATTATTATTAGTTTTCTTCTTATTAGTATTATTCTTCTTACTATTACTATTAGTATTATTATTATTCTTCTTTTTTTCTTATTATTCTTCTTCTTCTTCTTCCTCTTCCTCCTCCTCCTCCTCCTCCTCCTCCTCCCTCCTCCTCCTCCTCCCCCTGCTCCTCCTCCTCCTCCTCCTCCTCCTCCTCCTCCTCCTCCTCCTCCTCCTCCTCATCTTCCTCCACGGCACGGGCGGCAACGGGCGGCGACGGCGACGAGCGGCGACGGGCGGCGACGGGCGGCAATCACCCCGACGGGCGGCGACGGCGACGAGCGGCGACGGGCGGCGCGGGCGGCGACGGGCGGCAATCGCCACGAGATGATGAACGCAAGTAAGAACCCCTAAGTGCAAGCACCGGTCTGGGGAACTATACATATAAGAGCTCAATGAGAAAGTCCATGAGACAGTGGAAGGAGGTTCAAGAACGGACGTTCGGCGGGACAGGGACGACAAGGCTGCAGCTCACGCTGGGCGCTGTGAGCTAGGGGATGTCCTGCGGTTCCTTGGACGCCTTGTCCTTGTCGTTGCTGCAAGCGCCGCACTTGACTAAGATCTTTGCCTCCGAGCGTCCAAGAAAGGAGCACCCAGAAACACAGGATTGCCACGTGGTCGACACCGGTCGGGAACAGTTAAGGACAGTACGAAATCCGCCCGAAAACCGCCCGAGAACACTTGCAGACCGCAGATCCCAATATCTTGCAAGATTGGCATCCCAGGTGCCTTTGTTTCTGGGCTGCTTACCAGGCGTGGGAAAGAAGATCGACCGCTGGCAGCTACCAGGCCAAGGACCTGCCCCCACAACGGGGGTCCCCCGCGGGCACAAATTCCGCTGAGGGCGCTGGAAGCTGGGAGGTGGGTCCAAGAAGAGGGAGAGGCGACTGGACGGCTGACGGCTGAGCCCCTGGTCTGGGTCGAATCGAGCTGGGCCAAGCTGACGGACGACAGAGAGTTCGAGAGACAGGCAGACAGCCAGATGATGGACAAGGACATACAGGAAGGCACACCGGACAGGTAATACAAACAAACAAGCATGACCCTTGAGAAAGATCGGCGGCGAACCTGGGGGGAAATGGAAAGTGGCCGGCCTTCTCAGAAGGCCCAGAAGGCCTCCGGCCTTCTGAGAAGTTTTCTAAGCCTTCCCCGAGGACACAAAACTCTTCCCAGAAGGCGCGAAGGCTTCTGAGAAGCCCTGCCGCCTTCTGAGAAGGGCTGCTCCTTCTCACTTCCCCCCTGGGCGCGCCGCCGAAAAGAGATCACCCTATGTTGCGCCTCTCACAGATCCACAGGCCACCCTGCACGCATCCCACACTGCGCCTGAAACCTTCCGAGGCCGCGCCGCCGGGGCGCCGCCTTCGGATTGACGTAGAGGCTCATCAGATGCCGCTTCAGCTCGTCCGCGGGAATCTTCGTCTGCATCTGAATGTCCTGGCGACGCAGGTCCGCGGCGCCGTCGTCGGGCGAGACCCGAGTTCCAGGGCTGTCCGAGCCGAAGGCGACGGGCGCACAAACCAAGAGAGACCGAAGAGGCAGCAGCGACAACCATGCAAGCATCATATTCGATGCCGGCTGCTGGTGGGCGAAGAGGAGAAGGGGGGCTTACGCGCGAATGTCTGCGCACTTGTCCTACGTCGCCCGTATGGCTTACGGAAGAACGGTCCGAATCCTGATGGTTTCGGCATGTAGCTAGTGGTTATCTGGGCGGGACTGGAGGAATCCGAACTCATCTGTAGAAGCCCAGAGCAACCTGACGCAACGAGGACCCGCTTCACAAGACCCCCCAAACGCAGTGTCCCCGCAAGAGTTCAACGACAAACCTCCACATGCCAAGTAAAGTCCCGAGCGGAAGAGAAAGACGCTGGAGGTAACCGTTACTCCATGCGGCGATAGCGGTAAGAAGCAACATAGGATAAGCGGACGTACTCCAAGCGGGAAAATCTTGAGGGGAGAATGACTCACCTTCCGACGGAGCTTGACCATCCCCACCAGCACGTCAGCTTCTTCGTCTTGAAACTTGTCTTCAAAAGTGCGATCCCCACAAGCCCTTCCAGCAGCATGTGCCCATCAACCCAACCTGGATCTGTGGCTAGCAGCTCAGCCACAACGTGCCTGGTGGAAACGGGTCCTGAACGCGGGAGCTCTCTCCAAGAACTGGCTTCTCATCCTGAATTTGTTTGACGGTCCCAGGGCCCGGAGAGGGCGCCGACGGACCAACAACGGCAAAAAGACTCCAGGACCCCTTTCCTTCGTGGAGAAAGGAGAGGCGACCATCAGACCGTTCGGAAGAGCGCGAAGACAGACTGGCAGAACGATGAGGCAATGAAGCCAGGCAGCAGCGGAGGCGGCCGCCCAGCGCCCGTCGGCCGAGGCGGCCCTGGCGTCTTTCCGCTCCTGGTAGGACAGGGTCTGGTGGGCGTTAAAAAGCACCAGGATGCACATCTGGTAGGTCGAGACCTCGGTGCGGAGGAGGCGCTCCAAAGAAACAGGAGCGCCACATCTGGTGGCCCGCCTCCTCTCCCTCTCTCTCTCTCTCTCTCTCTCTCTTCTTCTCCCACTCTCTCTGGAACGAGCGCTGCGCCCGACTGACGTCAGGCGCGAGGGACTGTTGGTCGGAAGGTTCAGCGGATCGCCAGACGTAAGACGGGGCGGGCGAGGTGAAGCTCGCCGACTCGCCCGCCTCCGGGCGACGCGAGGAGGCAGGCTGCGCCTCCCCCGTCTGGCGCGTAGCACAGAATAGACGACCTCCCCTTCCCTCTCGGAACGGCCCCAGGGTGCACTGGCAGGGTGCTCCCCGAGGGAAATGCGGCACCGGAGGCTCTGGCGGCTCCCTGGCGAACCTGCCCAGTTCCCCCTCTTCCCCGCGTGCGCGGCCCTCGACTGGGAGTCCTGGCCGTGGGGCCTTCATCGGGACTCCCAAGGAATCCACCGGATGTATCCGCAGTCTCCTCATACATCCAAAACCTTTGAGGACGATTGCTGCAGCAATCCCGGGCATTCTTCAGAATGCAAATCAACTTTTAGCCACGCAGAGAATTCTCCTGGCGATGCCACCCCCGAACCCTGAGGTCTCCCTCTGGAATCCTCCGGATTGCCTCGGGAACCCGAAGATCCCCGAAGGACACAGGAAGTCTGGTGAAATTATCCTCCCCACGTAACCCTGAAAGGTCTTTAGACCCGCCCCCCAAGAGGGCGTAATTAGTTATTTGTTCGGCGGCCTTCCAGGACTGGGGTCTCACCAATAAGGGGTATGTTGTTCCGCGGCGCACGCCGCTTGACAGCGACGACGACCATTACGACTACGATTGCGACTACGACTACGACGACGATGACTACTACAAATCCGCCGGCCCCCTTGTGGGGCCACCAGGCTGCGAGGAGCGGGATTCGCAGTTTCCTGTACCAGTTGTAGCTTGTAGTTTCCAGTGTTACAGTTCTGCTTATTGCTGGTTACTGTAACTAGTTGATTGACCGCGCGAGGGGGGGGGAGGCCCAAACCAGATTTTTAGCACCCCATGGGCGCGTTGTCTGAATTGCTGGGGGGGCTCGAAATCTACACCCCTCACGCAGATCCGCGGGGTCAGGGTCCAAAAACACATGGGATTTGCCACATTTCTGAAATTCGGTGCCACCCCTCACGCAGATCCGCGGGGTCAGGGTCCAAAAACACATGGGATTTGCCACATTTCTGAAATTCGGTGCCACCCCTCACGCAGATCCGCGGGGTCAGGGTCCAAAAACACAGGGATTTGCCACATTTCTGAAATTCGGTGCCACCCCTCACGCAGATCCGCGGGGTCAGGGTCCAAAAACACAAGGGATTTGCCACATTTCTGAAATTCGGTGCCACCCCTCACGCAGATCCGCGGGGTCAGGGTCCAAAAACACAAGGGATTTGCCACATTTCTGAAATTCGGTGCCACCCCTCACGCAGATCCGCGGGGTCAGGGTCCAAAAACACATGGGATTTGCCACATTTCTGAAATTCGGTGCCACCCCTCACGCAGATCCGCGGGGTCAGGGTCCAAAAACACAGGGGATGTGCTACATTTCTGAAATTCGGTGCCACCCTTCACGCACATCCATCGCAAGGCGTGGTATCCCAAACTGCGAGAACTCCCTCGGCCCTTTAATCGCAAGGTGTGGTAACCAAGCCCGTAAACCATACACGTCTTACCAATCGCCAGGTGTGGTGACCCCTCTTGTGATCAGTTGGTTTTGCTGAGTGCGAATCGGCTTCGCATGAAGTTTCGATACTGCTTCACGACAGCGCCAAGACCTCATGACTTAGCTCTTCCATGGCCCATTCTCCGAGAGAGGGGGCCGGCGGCAGGGGGCGAAGCCCTTACGGATAATAATAATAATAAACACTCATAATATTAAAGTCGAGTAAGGAAAAGAATGAGCAATAATAGGATAAGAATTTCTGTCTTACGGCAGGGCCTCCCCCTACGGGGTCGCGGAAACAGGCGACGGCACTCTGGATTCCATCTTTCGCTCTTTTTCAGACGGCAACAAGAAGGCAAGCGCCGTGGTGACATCCACGGGTGGTTCTCAAGAAGAAACGGCCGCAAGGCCAGCGTGAAATTCAAAATCGCACCTCCAGAGAGCCACAACACCAGGTGTCCATGTGTGTGGGGGAGGCGGGTGGGAGCTTGAAGCCAGAACGGTTTCGGCGAGACAGAGAGCGCAGGCGGAGCGATGATGCGCTCGGAAACTGTCGAGGCCCTTCAGTCACAGGAAAACCAGTCAGAGACAATTCATTCCTGTCTTACGGCAGGGCCTCCCCCTACGGGGTCGCGGAAACAGGCGACGGCACTCTGGATTCCATCTTTCGCTCTTTTTCAGACGGCAACAAGAAGGCAAGCGCCGCGGTGACATCCACGGATGGTTCTCAAGAAGAAACGGCCGCAAGGCCAGCGTGAAATTCAAAATCGCACCTCCAGAGAGCCACAACACCAGGTGTCCAGTCCCATCCCCATACAAAATGCCCTAGGGAGGGCGGGTGGAAAATAGAAGAACAACTTAGTGGCGTCGAGCGCCAGCCGAGGCCAGATGGACGAAATCCGCGCCAGCAGCAAGCAACGCGGTCAGGCACATACCCGACGAAGCATGTCTCGAGCTCGCGCCTCCGAGAACTTCTGAGCGTTGGCAAGCAGCGAGGCCGAGAGTTTCGAACGCTGCCGAAGCGCGCTGCCGTGCTTCTCATAGATCCTGACACTTTCACGGTCGCGCCAGCGCCCTCTAGCCTGAATACTTGAGACGGGCCCAACGTCGTGCAGGGCGTCGTGCGAAGGCCCACCATGGCGAAGCTGATGGGGCACTGACAGAAGCTCGACCACTCCCGCGGTGACAGCCGCGGCCTTCAAAGCTTTTTCGCACTGCACGAGAGAGAGAGAGAGGGGCGAAAAGGGCAGGGAGGCCTTGCCGCCGCGCCCGGGCACGGAGTCGAGGCAAAATCTCAGGCACCAGGCGACAGAGGGGCAGGTCAGCGCCTGCCTTCACTGTGCAATCGAAGTCGCGATTCTTTGCTGGTTTGTCTTCGTTCAACGGAGCAACAACGACAGTGATATCGGCGGAGGGCCCTGAGCATCGCGAGCCAAACACATGTTCAGGCTTTATCGAGAGGAGCTCGCTGGGCCGAAAATACACGTCAAACTGGACCAAGGCGCCAAGCGCGACCAGAAGGTCAAGGCCCGCGCCGTTGTCTAGGACAGAGCAGACAAGCTGAACGGCCTCAAACGGGGGCGGATCACGCAAGCACGGCGGGATCTTGGCCGACCAGCCAGCCAGAGCATCCTTCGCCCTTTGAAAGTTCGGCCATGCAGCAGACCAACCTCGCTGCTTACACAGACCATACAGGGCCAAGCGGCCAACGTACTGCGGTTCGCCCGCAAAGAACAGTTCCTCGAAATATAGATTCAAGGCCGAGTCGGCCTCAGGCGGCGAAGTCAAGGGGAGACCACGCTCCTGCGCAAACACTTCGAGGGCAGAAACTGCATTGCGATAGCTGGCGAGCGTCGCAGGACGCAAGCTGGCCAGCCGAAGGTAGTCTCCGTCCGGGACCAGCCTCGCGATCGGCTGCCGCGGCGTCGCCGCGAGCGGCGGCGTTAGCGCGCCGCTGCCTCTGCGCCTTGGCCAGCGGTCTCGGCACCGGCGCCAAGCGCCCGTCGGGCCCTCTGGCGCGCCCAGCGGCTGCCCTGCCTGGAGAAGCTGCGGCCGCTGCCTCGCCCGATGCTCTTGGCGCCCAGGTCGACGGGCGAGCTGGCGAGCGCGCAGTCGCCGCATCAGCGCTGCCGCGGCTTCGGGTCGAGCGCGGAGGCCCACCCTGGCCGCCAGGGGAGCCGAAAGCGCTGCGGGCAGATCGGCGCCGAGACGGCTCGGTGCTCTCGGCAGCCTGCCGCGCTCGCCAGCGCGTGAGCCCTGCCCTGGAGCGCGGCTCGGCCGAAGGCGCCGCGCGGCGCATTGGGGCCAGCCAGGGGCACCAGCAGCCAGCACCAGCTCGGCACGTAGGCGCTCGCGAGGGTCGTCCGCCACACCCAGCCTCGAGTAGGATGTCGGACCTTTCCCTGAAGCTCAACGCGATGCCGACCGGCACAGCAGCAGCGAAGCCCCAAAGCCTCCAAGCCTGGCAAGCTGCCTGCGATCGCGCCCGGCTTCCTGAACGGAGCCCCGAACCTGCACGAGTCGAACAGTACCTTGGGGCACTCGAGGCGCCGGGGCTCCCGCTCGAGCGCAGGCCAGCGCCAGACGCGGCTCGCGGGCGGGTTCTCGAAGGTCGCGATGATCCCACGCCGCCTGCACAGCCGTAGGACGCGGACAGTGAACGAGACCAGGACGCGATCCACAGGCAAGGGGTCGCGATTGCCTCCCACGGGCACCCAACGCGCGCAGGGGAGTCCGAGGTGAACCCACCAAACCTCGCCACTCTCGAGCCAATGAAGCACCAGACGCTGAACTTTCGGAAGTGTGAGGTCACAATGGGGGCCCATCTTGATGTCCACCGGGGGCAGAACTCGAAGGCCTCTTTCATGCAGGGCCCCAGTGAGGTTAGCAGCGCCAGCAAAGATCTCCAAGAACGCCTTACGACCACGGCCAGCCCGAAGAAGTTTAGGAGGCCCAACCCCAAAACGTCGAGCATCCCCAAGACGATCACCCAGTCGTTGACGAGCTCCATCGGGGTCCTCTCGGGGTCCCGCGGGTAGAACGTGTAGATCACCAGGGCCTTCGCACGCAGCTCCCTGCGCGTTACGGGTCCCGAGCGGGTCCACCGGCCCGCGCCTCCAAGGCGTGAATCCGCCCTGGGCAGCGCCACGCACCTCGGCGCCGCCCCGTCCAGCGCGCGGGATCCAACAGCGCCTCCGCCAAGGGCTCGGGCGGCACCCCAATCTCGAGCTCGACTCGGCGCCGCCGAGCGACGGCGTGTCTGAGCCTTGGCGGGGCCTCCAGAGGCAGCGGCTCGGGGGCGTCGAGCAGCCCCGCCACGCGCCCTTCATGCACCTCCGTGTCGGGCGCGATCTCCACCTCCGAGGATACGAAGCGCTGGCGCTCCCGCCAACGAGTGGTAGCCAAGATCTCCCACGGCTGCAGGCGTGCCTCACATACTGCGTAGCCCTGCATCGAGCTATCGGTGGCGATGGCGATGTCCGACGGCACCCTGCACATGTCGACCTCGCCCCGGAAGACCAGGCCGGCTGCAGTCGCCAGCTCGCCCAGCACATCAGGGGGCACGCGCGCCACCTCGGCCAAGTCGCCGCTGGAGATGTGCGTGTAGCAGGCGCCCAGGACACTGAGGCCAGGCCGTAGCACCGAGAAGTAGTGCACGATGTGGCCCACGATCCGCCGAAGCTGCCAGCGCGCCAGCCAGGGATGCCGAAGTACGTGGTGCAGCGCCAAGTAGAGCCGCCAGGCCCGCTTCGGCGCGTGCCGGAGGCGCCCCTCGCGTCCATCCAGCACCATCCCGAGGATGACGAGCCCAGGCTGAGCTTTCTCCAGCTCGTGCCAGCGCAAACCCCGCCTATCCAGCTCGGCCGTGAGCTTGTCCAGGCGGTCGTCGAGTGCCGGCGCGCTGAGCGAGACCAGGTTCCCGTTGTCGACGTATGGGGCCCTGACGACCGAGCGCCCAACAAGCGTCGGGGCCTTGGCCTTGTCAAGACACCAGCCATCGCCAGGGAGCCCCGCCGCGTCCATCGCGTCGACCAGCACCTCGTGGCAGATCCAGAGCGCCCAGCTCCAGCCCATCGGCAGCGCAGCGAAGCACGGCCAGATGACCTCGTCGGGGGCGACACCGACCCTGTGGCCAAGCTGGTCATCGAAGATCGAGTCCACCCCCAGCTCGTCGGCGGTGACCTCGATATCGAAACACATCCAGCTGCCCCAGGCGGGGTCGGCAAACTGGTAGAAGCCGCCCATGAGGTCCACCGAGCCCGCACAGAGCGACTCGAAGCAGCCGTCGAAGTCGGCCAGGTCCTCCGGCGAGGCGTCGATGGCATCCAGCAAGTTGATCGAGCCAAGCGCCTCGCCCGAAGCGAGCACCGTCCGAGGCGGCAACTTGTGGAGCTGGTTCGGCTGGCGGGCGTCCACCACCATGCGGATGTCGCCGTTCTTCTTGGCCACGAAGAATGTACTGACGCAAGCCTTTCGTCTGCGGCGGCCGTCGACCAGTCTCCGATCTGCCAGGCGCCGCAAGAAGTCCACGAGCCTTGGGCGATTCCGAGGGTCGCGGGGGTTAAGCAGCGGGTCCCAGTACGGCTCCACGATCTCCTCGTCGTCGGGGATGTTAGCTGCCGGCCGCACCACGTCCACGTTGAAGTTGTCCAGGACCTCGGAGACGTGGCGAGGGGCCACTCCGCGAAGCTGGCGCGGCTGGTCGCTGACGGGACGTCGCAGCACGTTGAGCTTACCAGCATCATAATCACGGCGCGTAGAGCTCTCGCCCATGGCCGAGTACAGGTCCTTGCACTTGAGGAGCTCCTGAAGGGCTCCAGCGGAGTCCATGTCCCTCGGGCGGTCGCCGAACCTGCGGACGCGACGTCGGACTCGCTTGATGACCGACTCCTGCGCGGCAGTCGGCGTCTGCTTGCCGGGCGCACGAGGCTCGAGGCGCCCTCCAGCCCGAGCGGCCGCCAACCCATTGAGCGCTCCCATCGCCTCGAGAGAACGACGATCGCGATCATCAGCACGAGCAGCACGCTGAGCCAGGTACCGAGGCAACGCGGCACGTTCTCCACGACGGGCGTGGCGATGGAAGTCATCACCCCGAGGCAGAGGAAACAAAACTGCGGACGAAGTCCTGCCCTCGGAGGAGACCCCCTCGGACGGATGCCACCCCTGGCGCGCGTCGGCAGTCGCGGCGCCAGAGGTAGGCGGCGGGAGGCCAGGCGGTGAGCCCAGCCACATCGGCGCCTGGCCGGCGCCGTCACCCCTGATCCTTGGAACCCGCCTTCGCCTTCGCCTTCTCCTTGGGCGTCGGCTTCCGCGGCGGCCTGTCGTTGTCGACCCTCTCGAACCTCCTCGCATCCGATTGCTGCTCCTCGCGGAACAGCCTCTCCTGCTTCAGGATGACGCCCTGTGCCTTCTGCTCCTCTGCGACGAAGGCATCGAAGCGCGATGTCGCCACGCCACCACTCTCGTCCAGCGAACTGCTCAGCATCAAGCCAAGGCCCTCGAAGCTCGGGCGTCGGGGGCACCGCTTCACCGCGCGCTGGATCTGCAGCACTCTCCGCCCCAAGAGCTCGAAGGACGCCAGGTTTGACGTGTCGAGGAGGTCGAAGGTGACGCCATGGTGCAACACATTCAGCAGGTGCCGCATCTCCATGGCCACCGCCGCGCTCCGCGAGACCCCAGACTCTGACACCCAGAAGCCCCAGTAGGAGGTGAGGGTGAGCCCTGTGGCGAGCACGGCGCTGAGCAGCTCGGGCAGGGCGCGGGGCCCACGGAAGGGCCAGTCGTCGATCTCGATCGCGCTCATCTTCGCCAGGGCTTCGGCGAGCATCACGGGTTGTCCAGGAGCACGCCTCGACAGCGACGAGATCCTGGGGTCTCGCCCTGGGCCGCGGCGCGTCTCGGCGCGCCAAGCCTCCTCGTCGCGCTCCTGGACATTCTCCACGGAGACCCAGCCCTCTTCCTCGCTGAGCAGAGCGATGCCCACCGCATCCCTGAAGATCAGCCTCTCGGGGTTCCCGACGATGTGAATGTTGAATGTCCAGCTCCTTCCCGAAGTCTGGCGACCCAGGGTCCGAGACGATCCAGCGCGGCAGCAGAGCGCCAGGCGCCGCCGCGGGCGTCGTCACGCCCATCACCACCGCCAGAGCCCGCGCCTCGACACGGAACGCCTCGATGTCGTCCGGGTCGGTCTCCCCGAACGCGTACACCTGCCCGCGCACCCTCTGCGGGAAGGCCGAGTCGCGTCGGAGAGCGACGACCAAGTGCCCGCTCAAATCCAGGACGAGCACCTCTCCGTCCGGGCTCGCCGCGACCCAGACGCCTGGACTGAGCTGCACCAGCAACAGCCGATGGTGCCACCTGAAGTTGTCGTCGTCGAAGTTGTTGACGCACACCTGCGACTCCGGCACGTCGAGAGTGCGAAGCGTTGCCATCACGTCTCAGTCGCTCAGGCGCGCACCGCGCGAAACCCGCGCCGCACAGCCAGCGAGGCCTGCTGCCCGTCGTCGCTCACGAGGGTGACCTCGCCCTGAGCGGGACGAGGCGTCGCCAGGCCCCCGAGGAGCTCCGCGACCCAGCACACCGCGCGGACCACAGCGCGGCCGCCTCCGCCCAGCAGGAGGCCCACGGCCAGGGCAGCCCCCACGGCCCACCAGCCCGGCCCGCTGCCGCAGCTCAGGCTGCACGCCGGGCAGCTCGGGCACGTCCCGCAGCTGACCGCCGGCGGCGGAGGGCAGGTCGGGCAGCTGCCGCAGGTGACGCGAGCCTCCGGGCACGCCGGGCACTGCGTCAGCCAGGCGGTCGCCACCGAGGCAGCCCAGGGCCCGGCCGCCAGCCACGGGAGGCCCATCCGCTCCCGGGGCCCCACGATCGGAGCTTGAAGCCAGAACGGTTTCGGCGAGACAGAGAGCGCAGGAGGAGCGATCGTGCGCTCGGAAACTGTCGAGGCCCTTCAATCACAGGAAAACCAGTCAGAGACAACTCATACTAATAAGGATAAAGGTAAGAGTAATAATAATAAGGTCAATAATGATACGAATAAGGATAAGAGTACGAATAATAGTTATAAAAGCATATGATGATATCGATCTTAATAATAATAGTAATAATACGGAGAGTTAGAATAGTAACATTCAGTACCAGCATCATAATCATAAGCACAATCGTAATCAACATCATATTATTAATCGCAATCATACTACTATGCCTCAGGAGCGCTCTCACGGAACATCCTAGCTCAGAAACTCGATCCTGAGAAGCTCCATCCCCAGGAGGGAGGAGGAGGAGGAAGAGGAGGAGGAGGAGGAGGAGGAGGAGGACGAGGAGGAGGAGGTTTTAGGACCAGTCCTGTTCACCGCCGAGGGGAAAGGAGGGGGGACCAAAACTAAAGACCTTTAGCGGTTACCCTGCTTCTGCGAAGCGCTCCGCAGCGATCCTTCTCCAGGGCCGCGCCGCGTCGTGCGCGCGCGGACACGCGCGGGAGACTCGCCCCCGGCATCCTCGGATGACGCCTGGGATAGTTTCCTTCAGAGAGGGAAAGGGGGAGGGAGGTGCCATACGACTACAGCCAGACCTAGGCTAGAAGAACATCGCTCAAGAACAGAAGACACCTTGTCGGCCAAAACAAACAAAACATCCAAGGGTAACCCCCCCCCCCAGGATGCACAAGAACATCCAACAAACACGAAGAACACTACGGTACCCTCCCCGAACCGACCTCGATCTTATACCTCGGTCCGACTGTACTTGTAACCACACCCTGATAAGATACGAGGGAGGAAGGAGGAAAGGGATGGGGCTGAGCGGCGGGGCCACCATACGTACCCTCTTCAAACCTCCCTCCCACGCTGAATCCAAGGCCCCCGCGCCCCTCGCGAGGCAGGATCAGCGCGTGCCGACTGAGCGGGGGCTCCCCTAAGCCGCCGTCGTTAAGCTCGTGCCTGGACTTGGGCATCATGGCCTGAAGCAAGAGCGGGGGGGATGAGCAAAAGCGGGAAATGGAGAGGGGAGGGGGAGGGGAAAGGGAAGGGGGTAGCGGGGAAAGGGGGGAACGGGGGAGGTCTCGCCTTCTCCCCTCTCACCCATCCTCCCTCCCGTACACCATTCCCCCGCATATCTGCCCCCATCTGCCGACACCATCTGCCCCTCTACCTCCCCCGTCCTCCTGATACTCCATCCTCCCTCTTACCACCTCCCTTCTCCCTCCCTCACTACTCCTCCCAAGACATCCGACATCGTGAAAACATCAGGGCCACATCGCTCGCCCCCCCCGTGCGGAACCTCACGAGCCAGATCGACCCGTGACGGCCCCGAGGTCCGAAGCGACGTGGAGGTACACGTCGCAATGTATATCACACCTGGAGGTCAGGCTCCTCCTCATCATTGTCCTTCTCCTGCTCCTCCTCCGCCTCCTCCTCCTCCTGGTCCTCATCATCATCAGCAGCAGCATCATCATCGTCATCATCATCAGCATCATCAGCATCGGCATCATCAGCATCATCCTCCTCATCACTATCATCAGCAGCATCATCATTACCATCATCAATATCATCCAAAGCACGACAGACAAAACCAGCATCACCAGCATTACTATCAGTATCATCCCCAACATCTTGATTCCCATCATCCCCCTCATCCTGTTAACCGCCAAAACCATCCCATCACCATCATCAAAGCCATCACCGACACCATCACCATTACCACCACCATAACAATCACCACCACCATCATCATCATCATCATCATCAGCATCATCATCATCAGCATCATCATCATCATGATCATAATCATCATCATCATCATCATCATCATCATCATCATCAGCATCATCATCATCAGCAGCATCATCATCAGCATCATCATGGTCATGATCATCATCATCATATCCCCCTCCTTCTCCCTCCTCCTCCCTCCTCCTCCTCCTCATCATCATCATCATCCTCCTCCTCATCTTCCTCCTGCCTCCTCCTCTCCTCCTCCTCCTCCTCCTCCCCTCCTCGTCCTCCTCTTTCCTCCTCTTCCCTCCTCCTCCTCCCCCTCCTCCTCCTCCTCCTCCTCGTCCTCCTCGTCCTCCTCGTCCTCCTCATCCTCCTCCTTTTCCTCATCCTCCTCCTCCCTGCTCCCTGCTCCCTGCTCCCCCCGTGCCGACGCGACTCGAAACTGGATAGGTGGAAAAGCCCAGGAGACATACGGGGCGCCATTAAGAGTTCCCTGAGCTCGAAGAGCACCCCTGAGTAGCACCTTATCCAGTGAATGGCCGGGCGGCAATGGCCTAGGAGATGAAGCCCTCACACGCAAGGCAGGCACGGACCTCCCCAGGGAAATACGGCCGGCCGTATGGGCCCGGATGCCCATCCGTGTCGATGGACAAGCACAGGCACCCGCTTCTGGTGCCTGATGCAAGGGCGGCGTTGCCAGCCATCGTGCATCCGAAGATTCTGCGTGTTTACCGTCATCGCGTGGCAAACCGCGGCAAGGCTAGCGGTCCTGCACACTCACATATCCCTTGTTCTCCCAGTTCGTTTCCTGTGGGCGCTGCCTGGCGGCAGTGCCAATTCACATGCGTTTGCTGTTCTGCGCGCTTTCCCCCGTCGCGAGGCAAATGCCTCAAAGACGCTGCCCAGCAAGGCCAGCGGTCCTTCACATTCTCACGTGGCGCCGATCACCAAGATTCTGTCTCTTTCTGGACACTGACTGGCGGCAATACCAGATTTCGTGCCTCCAAGGTCCTTGACATAGCCCGGCGGAAAGGCCAGCGGTCTTGAACCTTCTCAGATCGAACGGCTACCAAGGTTCGTTCCCTTTCGGAAGCAGCTTGGCGGCAATGCCAGCCATCCTGCGTCCGCAGCTTATGCACGCCCACACCCGTCGCGAGGTTGTTGCCTCAAGGACGCTACCAAGCGCCACGGTCGACGGTCCTGCACGTGCTCTTGTCTCTCCAGTCACCAATGTTTCGTCTTCTTTTTGGCGCTGGCTGGCGGCAATGCTGGTGTTCGTGCGTCCACAGTCTCTACGCGCTTACCCCTGTCGTGAGGCAGGTGCCTCACGGACACAGCACGGCGGCAAGGCTGGCGGTCCTCCGCACCCTCGCGTGGCCCGTGTTAGGCTCGTCTCCTCTTGTACGCTGTCTGGCGGCAATGCAAGTTTTCGTGCATCCGCAGATTCTACTCCCGTCGCGAGGCAGTTGCCTCAAGGACACAGGCTGGCGGCAGGGATGGCGGTCCTGCACACCCACTGACCCCGTCGCGAAGTAAATGCCACGAGGACGTTGCCCAGCGCCCGGGCCAGCCGGCGGTCCTGCACACTCTCACGTCGAACCGCTATCAAGGTTCGTCTGCTCCTATTGGACGCTGTCTGGCGGCAACGCCCGCTAATGTGCATCCGCAGATTCTGCGATTTTGCCCTCGTCGAGAGATATTCGCCTCAAGGACACAGCCCGGCGGCAAGGCCAGCCGTCCTGCACACTCACACATCCCTGGTTCTCACACCTCGTTTCCTATGGGACTAGCCCAGCGGCAAAGACAGTTTGCGAGCATTCGCCGGTTCTCCGCATTCACAAACCGTCGCGAAGCAGATGCCTCAAGGATGTCGCCCGGCGGCAAGGCCAGCGGTCCTGCGGTCCTGCACGCCCTCACGTCGAACCGCTACTAAGGTTCGTTCCCTTTCGGGGGCAGGCTGGCGGCAGTACCAGCCATCGCGCATCCACGGTTCATGCACGCCTACGTCCGTCGCGACGTTGTTGCCTCAAAGACGTTGCCTGGCGGCTAGGCCAGCGGCCCTGCACGTTCTCATGTCTCTCCCGTCACCCATGTTTCGTTCTCTTTTTAGACACTGACTGGCGGCAGTGCCAGATTTCGTTCCTTCACAGATCATGCACGCTCACCCCAGCTGCGAGGCTGCCTGCTAAGGACACAGCCTGGCCGAAAGGGTGGCGGTCCTGCACCTTCTCACGCCGAGCCACTACCAAGGCTCGTCCCTTGTCGGGCGCAGGCTGGCGGCAATGCCAGATTTCGTGTTTCCACAAACACCCCCGTCGCGAGGCTGTTGCCTCAAGGATCGGGTCGGGCGAAAGGGGGGGATAGCAAAGGGGGGGTTTGAGAATCAGCTCACGTAGCTGATTTTCCCGGCGCCTCCCGGCGCCGGAGGCGGCTATGTATCGAGGAATGGGCCCCTCGGTGAGGCCGAAACCAGCTGCATGCAGCACATTTCGTAACCCCCCCTTTCCCAATCCCCCCCTTTCGCCCGACCCGAAAGGACACAGTCCGACGGCAAGGCCGGCGGTCCTGCACATTCTCACGTAAACTCTCTCGTCAACCTCGACCCTGAAGCCTTCAAAAACAGGAAACAGAATTCCATCGGTCAAATCTGAAAATGATTTCCACTGTCCTTACGTGTTTTGTGCCTCCAAGACACGGCCCGACGACAATGGTGGCAGCGTTGTTCAGGACACAGCCCGGCGGCAATGCCGGCGGTCCTGCAGCCCATTCAACACGAGGCATGCGCGCATAGGCCGGCGGCAAGTCTGGGGGTTGTTTCCACTGGACATGTCGGTGACTTCGCCCTTCAAGACACTGAGATGGCGGGCCTGCACGCCTGGTCGAAGGCATTGACCTCCAGGACACAACCAAGCGGCAATGCTGGCAGTCCTGCACACCTTCCCCCCTACCAGCCAAGCCAGGGCAAAGACTGGCAACGGCGCTGGATCTTTTTTCCTGCAAGACACAGCCCAAACGGCAATACCGTCGGTCCTGCACACCTCTCCAGGCCTGGCCAGCCCTCGGTGACCTTGGGCCCCAAGAGGCCTTCTAAGGTCACCGGCCGTCCACGACCGCCAGTGTAGCCCCGAGCAAAAAAAAAACTGCACTGGGGGGGAACGCGAGTTCGGCCCCCCTTCCGCGTACTGGTTTTTTACACCAGATTCCCGGGATTTGGGTTTTCGGATGTGATTTGTTCAAAATGCTGCTCTCGCTGAAACGCTGGCCTTATTTTCGGGCTACCAAGCGTTCCGAATCGTGCTCCCGCTGCAGCGCTAGCCTCACTTCTGCGCTTCCGCTCGTTCCGAATCGTGCTCTCGCTGCAGCGCTGGCGTCATTACTTCCAGCGCCATGCCACGGCATGGCTGTCGGTCCTTCAAAATGGCCCCAAAATGGTCCCCCGAAAAAAACAATCGGAAGTGATTACACATTCGGTGCCGACTCGTTGATTTTTGGGGCCGCAGAAGCCCCCCCACTGTGGGGCGTCGCAACGCCATCCTATGTCAGGCTACGCGTCCTCATTTCCGCGCTTCCGCGCATGATTGTCGTTCAAATGCGGCTCTCGCTGAAGCGCTGGCCTCATTTTCGGGCTACCGCTCGTTCCGAATCGTGTTCCCGCCGCAGGCGTCATTATTTCCAGTGCCATGCCACGGCATGGTTCTCGGTCCTTCCAAATAGGCCCCAAAATTTAAAAAATTGCCTCCCGAAGAAACCATCCGAAGTGTTTACACATTCGGTGTCGACTCGTTGATTTTTGGGGCCGCAGAAGCCCCGCCCCACACAGTTTGGGGCGTCGCCACGCCATGCTATGTCATGCTACGCGTTAATCTTCAACACCATGCTACGCCATGTAAATATAAGCCATGCTACGACATCCGATTGTGCGAATAGAGAAATCTACGCCATGGTAAGGGATGGGAGGGAGAGGTAGGACGTCAGATATGACGCGAGCGCACCTAGCTTGCCTCCTCCCTCTCCCCCTGCCCCTCCCCCTCCCACTCTCCATTCCCCTCCCCATCCCCCTCCTCGCACTCCCTCCCCCAACTCCCCCTCCTCCCCCACCTCCCCCTCCCCCACCTCCCCCTCCGCCCCTCCCCATCCCTTCCTCCTTCCCCTCCCCCCCCTCCTCCCGACCCACGCCCTCCGCGCCGCGCCGGCGGCGGCCTTGATGTCCGCGAGGCCGTGGTTCGGCTGCCAGGAGAGGCGCCGGCCTGCCCAGCAAGCGCAAGCGCGCAGGAGACGCAAACGGCTCGTGCCCTGGGCTCCCAGGAGGGGTCCCAGGGGGTGTCGCGGGAACGGACCGCCGAAGGAGGAGGAGGAGGAGGCGGTTGTCGTCGAACGTCGGATGAAGCGCCTCGCTGTTCTCGCAAGCAGTGGGAGGAGGAAGAGGAGGAGGGGGAGGAGGAGGAGGAGGAGGAGGAGGAAGAGGAGGAGGAGAGGGAGAAGCAGGAGGAGGAGGGAGGAGGGTGGAAGCGGTGCAGCCTGTCTCGGGGACTTCCAAGTCGTCGCTGTGGCCTCAATGCCATCGCTGATGCCGCGTCAATCAACTGTGCATCGGAGCCCATGCGTAGGAGAGACACGCACCTGCTTGATTGGGATAATTTGGCTCAGGGCGGCTACCAAAGTGGTGCCGCGATGTTTGTGCACGGGTCTTGAAAGATTTGGAATAGAGCTATCACAGATCGCATCAACCTCGTTTTCTGAAAACGACGTTTGGGGATTTGGCCCAGCACTTCCAACAACTCGGCTGCTGGGGCGGCAAAACCCAAATATTGACACCACTTTAGCATAGTTGATGTAAATGGCTTTACTCAGTTTCACCTGGCGGGGCTGCTCTGGCAAACTCAAAGTTATTTCTCAAGGCTTGGACTCGAGAGGTAGACGAGCAATAGCGATCTAGGCCGAGAGGATGACGCCGAAGGCACTACCTGGAGCGGAGAAGCTGGGCGGGAGCCCCGCTCCTGACGGTGATTCGACAGTACTGCTTGACACTGCTCTGCACTGCTTGGCGTTGTTTAGCGTTGCTGGGCATTGCTCGGCGCTGCTTGACATTGCTTGGCGTTGCTTGCCATGGTTTGGCACTGCACTGGAAACCCACCGGCTTCTCTCGAAAACAAATGCGACCACCTTAGGCAAAGAGCAATTGCGGACAAAGAGGTGCGAAAGCAAGAGGAAATACCATTGACAAGTCAGCGGAGCCTGTCTCCCTCCTTTTCCGGGAGAGACTTAAGACTCGAGTTGTGGGGGCCCGAACTTGTCTGAGAGAACCGTCAGAAAAGGATGGGAGCTCGTTTGAAGTTCGACGCGAGAGCTCCTGCTGCAAACACCCACAAGAACTGGACCGTCTAAATTCACGGCAGAGCCGTCAAGAAGTGGCAGAAACCCCGAGCACATGCAAACTCGAATCTCACGCTCCTCTGACTCCCCAACCTCACAGTTCCCACTGACAGAAATCTGCCGGCCCCCTTGCGGGGCCATCGCGCTTCGATGCTTAGGCTGGCTGTTCCCTGCTACATTCGCAGTTCCCACGTACCAGTGTGATAATTAACTTTCTGCTTCCTGCTGTAAATTGTTACTGTCCGTGTGAGGGGGGAGCCCCAAACCGCTGGGCTACCACGCCCGAGTCACGTCCTCAGAATGCCTGGGGGGTCGTGGGACACATGAAAAAGTACACCAGATTCGCGACCCCGAGGCCATAATCTCTTGTAAACTACACGATGCTAGCGTCCCCGAGGCCGCAAACCTTCTTGTAAATTACACAATTGTAGCGTCCCCGAGGCTGTAAACATTTGTAAATTTCGCAACATGTACCCGAATCCCCAAAACCCTCGCAAAGTACTCAATATTCGCACTGCCGATGCCAAGGGTGCTCCAAGGTGCCCGAAAATGGTTCCAAGACGGCCCAACAGAACCCAAAGAGGCCCCAAAAGCGCTCCAAGAGGCCTTCCGAAAGAGCCCGAAGAGGTCAATATTGTAGATGTCACGAGGTTGTTGAAGGATTGTGGCCTTTTCGTATTTTCGGATTTCCGACATTCCAAAACGGCTTCAGAAGCGCCCAAGACCGCCCCATGGCAGCCCAAAACGCCTCCAAGTGGGCCCCACGACGGCCTAGAAAGTATGAAAGGGGTCGGGAGGCCCAACCAGCAGATTCGCCTTAGGCAAAGCCCAGTTCCAGTTCTGTTGTATCGCAGTAGCGATAGTCCCCGTAGTAGGAGGTCGAGGGAGCGACGGGCCATCTCAAGCAAAGGATGTTTTGGTATCCGTGGCAATAGTAAACCTCGCACGGAGGTGTCGTCAGATTTGGGCGGCCGGCCGCTTGACACACGCTCGATACTTCTCGCCCGTATCCCTGCTCACTTTAGAACGGGGGGGAGGGAGACAAAGCGTGAGCCCGCCGCTTCTATACAGCAGGTACAGCAACTACTATATACAAAATGGCAGCAAAAGGGCAGGACCATAAGGAAGGTGGACCCGCGCGCAAGTTGCCTTGCCTGCACCTTACTGTGCATACGAATACTCATCAGGCGGCTGCAGACCGAGATGTCTGGCCAGTCCGATAAGGAGCATGACGCTTTAAATCATGTTTGAAGGCTCGCGTACCTCCCACGGCCTGCAGAAGCATTTCTCTGTCGATGCTCCCCTTTGTGTGACCGTCCGCGGTCATATCGCGGGTGACACAACCCTTGTATACTGTGCACGGTTCCTCGCTCCATCATCTGTCGTATCCAGCTGATGGGTCCTAAAAGAGCACACGCAGTCGGCTGCTTCAAATCTTTGCTTGACAAGGACTTAAAAATTAGCCTGGCGAAGGACCCAAGCATACGCAATTGTGGATACAGCAATTGTGAATACTATCTTCGCCCGCGCTCCCTATGTGGCCACGGCTTCCCGCTGGAGCCCGACATGCTCAGGAACACGTTTGTGGCCGTCCTCGCGGGCGCCGATCTTCGCGGGCGCCGACGACCACGAGGACGGCGTCCCCCTGACCGAAGAGCAGAAGCAGGAAAGGGTTCTGAGAGCCAGGAGGGAGACTGCCATTGACGCCTTCGGTGGAGCTCCTATGGGGTCACGATCCTCATGAGGGGTGTGCCGAGATGGCCCGAGGCCGCCATGCGAACCCTGCCACTGGGGGCCTTCGGTGGAGCTCCCTATGGGGCCACAATCCTCGTGAGAGGTGTGCCGAAATGGCCCAGGGCCGCCATGCGAACGCTGCCACTGGGGCCTTCGGTGGAGCTCCCTTTGGGGCCACGATCCTCGTGAGGGGTGTGCCGAAATGGCCCGGGGCCGCCATGCGAACGCTGCCACTGGGGCCTTCGGTGGAGCTCCGTTATGGGGCCACGATCCTCGTGAGGGGTGTGCCGAAATAGCCGGGGCCACCATGCGAACGCTGCCACTGGAGCCTTCGGTGGAGCTCCCTATGGGGCCACGATCCTCGTGAGGGGTGTGCCGAAATGGGGCGGGGCCGCCATGCGAACGCTGCCACTGGAGCCTTCGGTGGAGCTCCCTACGGGGCCACGATCCTCGTGAGGGGTGCGCCGAAATGGCCGCCCGGGGCCCACATGCGAACGCTGCCACTGGGGCCTTCGGTGGAGCTCCCTATGGGGCCACGATCCTCGTGAGGGGTGCGCCGAAATGGCCGCCCGGGGCCCACGTGCGAACGCTGCCACTGGGGCCTTCGGTGGAGCTCCCTATAGGGCCCCGATCCTCGTGAGGGGTGCGCCGAAATGGGGCGGGGCCCACATGCGAACGCTGCCACTGGGGCCTTCGGTGGAGCTCCCTATAGGGCCACGATCCTCGTGAGGGGTGCGCCAAAATGGGACCATGCGAACGCAGCCACTGGGGCCTTCGGTGGAGCTCCCTATGGGGCCACGATCCTCGTGAGGGGTGCGCCAAAATGGGGCGGGGCCCACATGCGAACGCAGCCACTGGGGCCTTCGGTGGAGCTCTCTATATAGGGCCACGATCCTCGTGAGGGGTGTGCCGAAATGGGGCGGGCCCACATGCGAACGCAGCCACTGGGGCCTTCGGTGGAGCTCTCTATATAGGGCCACGATCCTCGTGAGGGGTGTGCCGAAATGGGGCGGGGCCCACATGCGAACGCTGCCACTGGGGCCTTCGGTGGAGCTCCCTTTGGGGCCACGATCCTCGTGAGGGGTGTGCCGAAATGGCCCGGGGCCGCCATGCGAACGCTGCCACTGGGGCCTTCGGTGGAGCTCCGTTATGGGGCCACGATCCTCGTGAGGGGTGTGCCGAAATAGCCCCGGCCACCGTGCGAACGCTGGCCCCAAGATGGCCCAAGGCGGCCCAACAGGCCCGCAAGAGGCCTCCCAGACGGCCCAAGAGGCCTCCAAGAGGTCCTCCAGGAGGGCCCGAACAGGCGAAAATGCGAAAATTGAGGCCTTCTGTTTTTCTCCAGCACAAGCTTGAGAGGGCGCTGGGGCGAGGCATCGGCAACAGTGACAACAGAACGCAGCAGCATCGAGCAAGTAAAAAACTCTGGGCCTGTTGAATTCTGAATTCGTGTAAAATTAAAAAGCGGAAGAGCAGAGAAGGGGGGGAGGGTCGGGCGGCTCGCGCGGCTGATTAGATCCAACGGTTGCGGATCAACAAATTGACAGGCCAACCCGATAAACTATCTCCAAGTCCTTCTATTTTTCTCCAGCAGAAGCTTGAGAGGGCGCCGGGGCGAGGCATCGGCAACAGTGACAACAGAACGCAGCAGCATCGAACAAGTAAAAGAACTCTGGGCCATATTCACGTCCAGATTCATTAGTGAACTGGCAATACCGCTTAGCATTTACAAATGTCCCACAACCGAGAGAGCCTACGATTATTTGACACATCTACAAGAGACTTGGCAATGATCTTGCACAGCGCCTTGGGGTAAGGCTGTGCACTTGCCGTCCAAAACTGGCCACCGGGGGCCTTGCCCTCCAACACTTGGCGAGGCCTCTGGGACCTCTCACAAATGCCTTTACCGTGGCACTTTCGCCCAAGAAGCTCCGAAGAAACGTGCCAGAGGCGAAGCCGTGTCCGTTTACGCCACGGCTCACCCCACATACAAAAGTCCGTGAACACATCGTGAACATTGGGGAGCCTACCGAGACCTAGCACAGGCGTACACAGCCAAAGACAGGAAAAAAGCAGGATTCTCGAGCCCTCCAGGGACCCCTCTAATGTGAGCTAACTTAGCAAGCACAACAGAGACACGCATCAAACGGTTACCCAACTGCACTCGCATTTGATCGGGACCTGAGAGGCCCGGCAGTCCAAGAGGAAACTCTTTGGACCTCAAAGGCCCTGGCCCAGACTTGGTACACCGACGGGCCAACGAGAAAGAAGTGCACGGGGTTCCTAACCACAAGATGCTCACCTCACCACTGAGAATCCATCCTTTCAGAACTTCGACACTGGACGCCTTGGTGAGATCAAACTGCGCTCCTCGAATGATGTCCCACTCGACCGTGGGGACTCCTCTGGCACGAAGCGCCGAGGCGAGGCGGCCTGACCCAGCGAAGACCTCGACGGCGACCCTATCCCGCCCCAGGCGCACTCTGTGGAGCGTCGCGTTGAGCAGTTGGCGAACAGCTGCGGCAGCCTCTGCATGCTGAGTCGCAGCCGCTCCTGCACCACGGGCGGCACCTTCGCCACTTGCAGCGCCAGGCGGCCGAGCTTCTCGCACCTCCGCACGGACAGGCGAGCTCACCACCTGCCTCTCTTGGCCACCTCCTCGAGCGACCTCCTTCCCACGATTCGATCGTGGCTTGCTCCTCCGCGCCGCGGGCAGTACAGCGTGGCACCGAGGCTTTGAAGTCCCAGCACCGCCAGCGCGCCCTCGAGCTCCTCGCGCAGCTGCGCGTAGCCGAAATTCCACAGCGGCTCGCGGGGCTCCAGCCGCGCCTTCAGATCCCTGAGCGCGGGCGTAAGCCACTGGAGCTCGGGCGCGCCCAGCGGCAGCGAGTCGTCCAGCTCGCCAGTCTTGCTGGGCACCAGCAGCTCCTCTGGGCGAAGGAGCAGCGCCCACCAGCGAAACCCGCCCTGCAGCCCTGCAGCCGGCGGCACCAGCTGAAAACGACTTCATCGCCAGGAGCTCCCCGGGCCGAAGGTAGCAGTGGAACATGAGGCAGAGAGCACACGCCATCGCCACCTCTCGCTTCAGCAGCAGAATCTCCAGCACGCCGCAGAGCACCAGCCAAGGGAGCGGCGGCCGAGAGTGGCCGGGCCGCTTGCGCCCCCAGCCCAGCAGCGCCCGGCTGCTCCTCGGCAGCACCACCCGCAGGGGCCGCCCCAGCGCAGGTCGCGCCCAGAGCACCGCCGACAACAGCTTCGCAGCCCTGTTCGGGCGCACTCCCTGCGCGAACTCGTCGTTCAGGTACTGCAGCAGTGCGTCGTCCCACTCCAGCGCGCTCCAGCTGGGAAGCGTTTCCAATCCGAGCCAGTTGCAGAGGCCACTGAGGCACTTCAGGTAGTTCTGCTGGGTAGAGGGCCTCACCGCCTCCAGCTCCAGTCCTGAAACGCTCGAGCCCAGGAGGCGGTGCCACGGCAAGGCTGTCGACCTCCGGGCCCCGGCAGCGGGCCGGGGGCGTCTGGCACTGGCCCTCGCCTGACGCGAGCGCGCACGGCCCGGCGAGCCCAGGAGGCGCTTTCGCCCATGGCCGCTCGCCGGCGCACTCGGCGCAGGCAGCGGCTGCGCACTCGGTGCGGCCGCCACGAGCCGACGGCGCTCCATCGCCCCGCAAACGGCGAGGCTCGAACCGCCTTGAAGGACCGTCGGCGGGGTTCCACTCTGAAGGAACCCATCGCACTGACACACGACAAGACGATGCGAGCTGAAGAGCTGTGAAGTGTCCTGAGCGAGGATGGGAAAGTCCGAGGCTCTTCCTTTTGCAACTGCACAGCAAATACACATGCTGTCTGACAAAAAGAGAAGCCTGCACCCATGATGCGCCACTCGCCGCACCTGCCGCCGCATGGCCCACAGCAGCGCCTCGCCCTCCAGAAGGTGGACGAGGCACGATGGCGCCACCGTCTCGAGGCCACGGTCCTCCACGAGGCGGCCTTGCAGAAGTCCGACGGCACGTCGGGGAACGGGGAGTCGCCAACGGCGCCTTCACGCAAGGCGCGTGCACACGAGCCTTCGGCCACCAGCTCGTGCTCCTTGCACCTCCAGCGCTCTCTAACTCGGCCGATGCGCCCGACGACATGGGGGCCCGCGGAGCGCTCCACCGCGCCCAAGCCAGTCATCGAGGCGTCCACGGCCATCACGCTGGGGACCCAGGCGCCGCGCAGGCCCGCCCACACCAGCGGCAGCAGCGCTCGCATCCAGGTCAGCTCTCGGCGCACCGAAGGCCAGAGCCGCACGCGACGAGCGTAGCACTTGCTGACAAAGACGTAGGACGCACTGAGCAAGCTGAGCACTTCGCGTCGTAGCAGTAGCACGTACGTCAAGTGCCCGATCAGCCGCTCTAGCTCGGCCCCCGCCAGGAGGGGGTGCTTCAGGATGTAGTCCAGACTCATGACTAGCCTCCAGAACCGCTTGGGCGCGATGTGGATCGCCCCCTTCACCCCGTCGACGTGGAACCCGAGCAGGTCCACGTCAACATGCGGCCCCGAGATGTCGTGAGTAGTCAGACCGCGTCCCTCAGCTGCCTCTCCATCGAGTCGCCGTCGAGCTGGACTGTCTCCTTCACGGTTGCCAGCGAGGCGAAGTTGTCGATGCACAGGAGAGCAGCGGGCTCACGCCCGGCGACAGCAGGCGCGCAGCGGCGATTGCAGATCCAGCGGCGGGCCCCTTGCGGACCCGCCCGCAGCAGCTCCGCGTTCGCTGCCTGCACCAGCGCCACGGCCCAGCTCCAGCCCATCGGCACCACTCGCACCTGGAAGTGAACGAAGTCGTCCTCGGGCGGAAACAAGCGGCGCAGGCTCCGCGGCAACAGCTTCCGAGGCACCGCAGGTAACACGAAGTCGGCCCTCAGGTCGTCGGGAAGCAAGAACTGGCAGTAGCAGTTCTCAACATCGCCCTCACTGACCCACAACCGCTGGCCTGCAGGCAACTCAAGATCACCCAGGGCCTCAGGAGAAGCCAGAGCCACACTATCTGGAGGTACAAACTGCGAATTCGTCTTTCGAGGATCGAAGATGCTCCGCAACGAGCCGTCCTTCTTACGCACAAAGAAGACTCCCGCAAAACTGCGAACCTCAGTCGCCGGCTCGACGACACCCGATTCATATGCAGACATCAAAAACTCGGCGTACTTGCTGGGCGACCTCGCCAGGATGGGATCCATCGCAGGGCCCAACTCGTCCACCCCTGCCGCCACGTCCTTTGTACACACTGCTGGTAGCCGAATAGCGCGGCCACTATCCTCCAGCAACTTCTGGTAGTGGTCGGGCAGGCAACTGACGAGGTCGATCGCCTGGTTACCGACCGCTGGCAAGGCAAGCCTGCCACGCTGGTAGGTCGCGAACTCTCCGGCGACAACACCTGCAACGGCGTAGCCGGAACCGCAGCCCCGAAGCGCAGACCACGCTCCCGAGGCGGTGAGGTCGTCGGGCGGCGGCGGCACGGCAAAGTAGGCCCGGGCCAAGCTGGCCACAGCCTGGCGCTGGATAGCACCTGGCAGCTGGACAGCCTCACCGCGGCCGCCCAGCACGTTGAGCGTCGAGATGCCGCCCTGCAGCCACGCCACAGCAGCTCGTCGGCGCGAGCGCCGCCGATCCGCACAGCGCGACGCACCCAGGCCAGCTGGCGAGAGCCCCTCCAGGAGATCAGCCAGGCAGCGCCCAGATGGCAGCGGCAGCAAGTCCCGAGCCCAGTCTAGGCCTTCACCTGCAACACCGAGGCGGCCCGCCATCCTCCTCAAGCGGGCAGCCCTCCCCTTCTGCAGAATGGGCGGCGGCCGGGGGCCTCCGCCGCCCGTGGCAGCTCAAGCAGCGTCACCCCCCGGCCCGCCACCATTCTTCTTCGGGCGCCTGGGGGGCTTCTCGCCGTTCTTGCCGCTTCCAACACCTGGAGCAACATCGGTCGAGCGGGCCAGCTGCCGCTCCTCCTTCGCCGCGCGGCGCTCCTTGAGCACCGCGCCCTCCTCGGACAGCTTCTGGGAGATCCAGGACTCTAGAGCAGGCGCCACAAGAGCACGGCCATGGCGGCCCTCCTCGCCCATGAACAGCCTGTCGCTGTCGAGGTGGCCGCTGTCGCCACCCGCCGTTGCCGCGATGAGCATGCGGGCGTACCTCTCCTCGAGCAGCTGGTAGCGCCTGCCTGCAAGCTCCAGCGACGCAAGAGCTCGCCGAAATTTAGCTGGTCGTACGTCAGAGCGTACTCGAAGAGCCGGCTCAAGGACTCGTGCTCCCCGACGCCCCAATCGCTGGGGCCCAAGCCCAGCAGCTGTCTCCACCAGAAGCGGCGGCGCACGAGCGTGAGCTCCTGCCGGGCGATCTCCCGCGCCAGCCACTCCGCCGTCCTCGGGCCGCTGATCGGCCAGTCCTCGAACGCCGTCGTCGTGGTCAGCGATGCAGCCTCCTTGTAGGAGCGATGCCGCTGGCTGGCCGTCTCGTACTTCACCGGGCGGGTGCGTAGCTCGTTGGACACAGGCTCCGCCGCCCCCACTTCCCTAGGCGTAGGCATCTGTTGGCCCGGCCTGAAGAAAGCGCAGGCCACGAAGACGTCGCCCACCAGGGCCACTCCACGATCTCCTCGATGGCAGCCTGCCTCCAGCTCCGCGTCGCCGACGCGCTCGCCCAGCCTAGCACCACCGCGGTTCTCCGAGTACCGCCATCCTCTTTCGCCTGAGCTCGGCACGCCCTCCAGCGCCAGCGGCGGATGCGCGCCCGTGGGCGGCGGCGGCGGCGGAGAAGCGGCTAGGCCCAAGTCGCGCCTCTCCTGCAAGGCCAGCTCCGCGCCGTCCGCCTGGAGCCGCAGGCTCTCCTCGCGGTACAGCGGGCCCTGGGACGAGTTCCTGAACAGGTGCGTGGGCCCACGGTTCCAGCCGATCGGCAGGCCTCCCGTGGGACCCAGCAACACGAGGCTCTCGACGCCCTCCAGGAGGTCCTCGAGGTACATGTCTCTCTCGGGGGTGGTCACCACCCAGGAGCCTTCGTGCACGTGCGCGCACAGAAGGCGCTCATGCCACAACAACTCACGCGGGTCCTCGTCGTAAGAGACGAGCACTCGCTGGCCCTGACGAAGATGATCTGACATCGCTTCCGTCGGTCAGGCAAGGAGTCCCTGAGCCCTCAGACGTGGCACGACCCTCCGGGCGCCTCGAGCACCACCAGCCACAGGAGGCAGCAGCGGCGAACCCTGCCAGGAAAGCCAGCACCGCCACCAGGAAGACCACCAGCCCAGGATAGCCCGAGCACTCTGGGGGCGGGCACGGCGCCGGCACCGTGAGGTTGGCGGGCCCGCACCTCTGCAGCTGCCCCTCCAGCAAGCGCAGCAGCTCACGGTCCACCGAGAACCCGTCTCCCAGCTCGACCTGGCAGGTACAGCGCTGGCCGTACCACAGGCTGCCCAGGTGTGCCAAGCCGCCTGCGCCAGCAGCGGCAGCCCTCGCCCACTCCATGGAGGGGCGAACTACCGGCTCGCGCGGCTGATTAGATCCAACGGTTGCGGATCAACAAATTGACAGGCCAACCCGATAAACTATCTCGAAAGGATTTGGGTATTTTCGCCTGTTCGGCCTTCCGACGGCTCAAGACGGCCCAAGAGGCCCCCAAGATCGCCCAAGAGGCCCCCAAGAGGGCCCCATGACGGCCCAAGTGGCCTCCAAATAGCTCCAAGAGGGTCCCAAGGCCTCCAAGACGCCCAAGAAGGCCTCCAAGACGGCCCCGAAGCGCCCCAAGAGGGCCCTAAGTCGGCCCAGAAAGGCCCCCAAGACGGCTCCCGACGGTGTCAGACGTGCCAGGAACCCACCAAGATGGCCGAAGTTGGCTCGAAGCTGGCCCAAGAGGCCCCCAAGAGGGCCTCCAGAAAGGCCCGAATAGGCCCAAAACACTGATTTTCCCAAGGTTGTTGACGGATGTTGACATTTGCTTTGTTTCGGCCTTCTGACGGCCCGAGACGGCCCCAGAGCTCCCAAAGAGAGCGGAAAGATCGCCCAAGAGGCCTCCAAGATGGCCCCAGAACGGCCCAAGAGGGCCCCAAGACGGCCCCAAGAGGCCCCCAAGACGGCACAGGAGGCCTTTAAGACGCCCAAGATGGGCCTCCAAGACGGCCCTGGAGCATTCCAAGAGGGCCCCAAGTCGGCCCATAGAGGCCCCCCAAACGGCTTCCGACGGCGTCAGACGGACCAGGAGCCCACCAAGACGGTCGAACATGGCCCTAAGATGGCCCAAGACGGCCCAAGAGGCCTCCAAGAGGGCCTCCAGGAAGGCCCGAAAAGGCAAAAATCATTGATGTCCCATTGGTTTTTGAGGGATTGTGGCATCTGCTTTTTCTCTGCCTTCCAACGGCCCGAGACGGCCCAAGTGCCCCCCAAAGATCGCCCAAGAGGCCCAAGACACGGCCCCGAGAGGCCCCCAAGACGGCCCAAGAGGTCTCCAAGACGCTCACGATGGCCTCCAAGACGGCCCAAGAGCCCTCCAAGACGTCCTCCAAGATGGCCCGAAAGGGTCAAAATGGCCTCCAGGCGGCCATGATGACCTTCAAGATGCCCACGTGTTCCCCGAAGGCTTTCCAAACCGATTCGGGGAACACATGGTCCGATAGCTTGGCAGGTCTGGCCTCAATGTTCGGTCACATAGGCGCTTCCAAAAAGGCAGGGGCCGGCGGTGATTCGCCGTAGGCGTCTTCGATCCGCCGCCCCCTTTTGATTTATCAAAGGGGTGCCTGGCGTGCCGAACGATATGGCTTTTGGTTTTGGTTCGTGTTCCAAAAGGACTCCCCCTGGGGCTTCGGCCCTTCCCGCCGGCCACATGGAAAGGATCTCAAAACGCGTCCATCGTGCCTCTATTTCGTCCAGTTGGCCCAAGATGGCGTCCAAGGCGGCCAAGATGGCCCAGGATGGTCTCCAAGACGTCTCCAAGACGGCCCAAGATGGCCTCAAGTCAGCTAAGATGGCCCCAAGATGCCTCCAAGACGGCCCAAAATGGCCTCAAGATGGTTTACGACGGCCCAACAGGCCCGCAAGAGGCCTCCAAGACGGCCCAAGAGCCCTCCAAGACGTCCTCCAGGAAGGACCGAAAGGGCCAACATCATTGATTTTCTTTAGGTTTTGGAAGGATTTTGGCATTTGCGCCTTTTCGGCATTCCGACGGCCCAAGACGGCCCAAGAGACCCCCAAGATCGCCCAAGAGGCCCCCAAAAGGGCCCCAAGACGGCCCAAGTGGCTTCCGGGACGGCCCAGAGAGGGCCCCAAGACGGCCCAAGAGGCCTCCAACACGCCCAAGATGGCCTCCAAGACGCCCAAGATGGCCTCCAAGACGGCCCCGAAGCGCCCCAAGAGGGCCCTAAGTCGGCCCAGAAAGGCCCCCAAGACGACTTCCGACGGCGTCAGACGTGCCAGAAACCCACCAAGATGGCCGAAGTTGCCTCGAAGCTGGCCCAACGGCCCAAGAGGCCCAGAGGGCCTGCAGGAAGGCCCGAAGAGGACCAAAACGTTGATTTTCCTAAGGTTGTTCTACGTATTTGACATTCGCTTCTTTTCGGCCTTCCGACGGCCCGAGACGGCCCAAGAGCCCCTCAAGGTCGCCGAAAGATCGCCCAAGAGGCCTCCAAGATGGCCCCAGAACGGCCCGAGAGGGCCCCAAGACGGCCCCAAGAGGCCCCCAAGACGGCACAGGAGGCCTTTAAGACGCCCAAGATGGGCCTCCAAGACGGCCCTGGAGCATTCCAAGAGGGCCCCAAGTCGGCCCATAGAGGCCCCCCAAACAGCTTCCGACGGCGTCAGACGGACCAGGAGCCCACCAAGACGGCCGAACATGGCCCTAAGATGGCCCAAGACGGCCCACGAGGCCTCCAAGAGGGCCTCCAGGAAGGCCCGAAAAGGCCAAAATCATTGATTTCCCATTGGTTTTTGAAGGATTGTGGCATTTGTTTTTTTTCTGCCTTACGACGGCCCGAGACGGCCCAAGTGCCCCCAAAGATCGCCCAAGAGGCCCAAGACACGGCCCCAAGAGGCCCCCAAGACGGCCCCCACCTTCAAGATGCCCACGTGTTCCCCGAAGGCTTTCCAAACCGATTCGGGGAACACATGGTCCGATAGCTGGGCAGGTCTGGCCTCAACGTTCGGCCACATAGGCGCTTCCAAAAAGGCAGGGGGCGGCGGTAATTCGCCGTAGGCGTCTTCGATCCGCCGCCCCCTGTCGATTCATCGCAGGGGTGCTTGGCGTGCTGGACCTTCTCGGTTTTGGTTTTGGTTCTTTTTCCAAAAGAACTCCCCCTGGAGCTTCGGCCCGTCCCGCCGGGGTGCCGGGAAGGATCTCAAAACCAGGTTGCAAAGGTTTTCCCTGCTCTGGACGGCTCCAAGACGGCCAAAGATGGTCTCCAAGATGCATCCAAGACGGCCAATATGGCTTCCAAGACGGCTAAGATGGCTCCAAGATGCCTCCAAGACGAGCCAAGATGCACTCAACACCGCCTAAGATAGCCTCAACATGGCCCAAGAGCCCCCCATGAGGCCTCCAAGACGGCCCAAGAGGCCTCCAAGACGTCCTCCAGGAAGGACCGAAAGGGCCAACATCATTGATTTTCCTTTGGTTTTGGAAGGATTTTGGCATTTGCGCCTTTTCGGCATTCCGACGGCCCAAGACGGCCCAAGAGACCCCCAAGATCGCCCCAAGATCGCCCAAGAGGCCTCTTAAAGGGCCCCATGACGGCCCAAGAGGCTTCCGGGACGGCCCCAAGAGGGCCCCAAGACGGCCCAAGAGGCCTCCAACACGCCCAAGATGGCCTCCAAGACGGCCAAGATGGCCTCCAAGACGGCCCCGAAGCGCCCCAAGAGGGCCCCAAGTCGGCCCAGAAAGGCCTCCAAGACGGCTCCCGACGGCGTCAGACGTGCCAGGAACCCACCAAGATGGCCGAAGCTGGCCCAAGATGGCCACAAGAGGCCCCCAAGAGGGCCTCCAGGAAGGCCCGACGAGGCCCCAAACATTGATTTTCCTAAGGTTGTTCTACGGATTTTGACATTTGCTTCTTTTCGGCCTTCCGACGGCCCGAGACGGCCCAAGAGCCCCCAAAGGTCGCCGAAAGATCGCCCAAGAGGCCTCCAAGATGGCCCCAGAACGGCCCAAGAGGGCCCCAAGACGGCCCCAAGAGGCCCCCAAGACGGCACAGGAGGCCTTTAAGACGCCCAAGATGGCCTCCAAGACGGCCCTGGAGCATTCCAAGAGGGCCCCAAGTCGGCCCATAGAGGCCCCCCAAACGGCTTCCGACGGCGTCAGACGGACCAGGAGCCCACCAAGACGGCCGAACATGGCCCTAAGATGGCCCAAGACGGCCCAAGAGGCCTCCAAGACGGCCTCCAGGAAGGCCCGAAAAGGCCAAAATCATTGATTTCCCATTGGTTTTTGAAGGATTGTGGCATTTGCTTTTTTCTGCCTTCCGACGGCCCGAGACGGCCCAAGTGCCCCCAAAGATCGCCCAAGAGGCCCAAGACACGGCCCCGAGAGGCCCCCAACACGGCCCAAGAGGTCTCCAAGACGCTCATGATGGCCTCCAAGACGGCCCAAGAGCCCTCCAAGACGTCCTCCAAGAAGGCCCGAAAGGGTCAAAATGGCCTCCAGGCGGCCAAGATGACCTTCAAGATGCCCACGTGTTCCCCGAAGGCTTTCCAAACCAATTCGGGGAACACATGGTCCGATAGCTTGGCAGGTCTGGCCTCAACGTTTGGCCACATAGGCGCTTCCAAAAAGGCAGGGGGCGGCGGTGATTCGCCGTAGGCGTCCTCGATCCGCCGCCCCCTTGTAATCTATCAAAGGGGTGCCTGGCGTGCCGGACGATATGGCTTTTGGTTTGGGTTCTTTTTCCAAAAGAACTCCCCCTGGGACTTCGGCCCGTCCCGCCGGCCACCCAGAAAACCCGCCTGTCGTCGCCTTTCCTGCCCCAAGATGGCCCAAGATGGCCTCCAAGACGGCCCAGATGTCCCAAGATGGCCTCCAAGTTGCTCCAAGACCGCCAAGATGGCCTCAAAGACGGCTACGATGACCCCAAGATGTACCCAAGACTGCCCTAGATGGCCTCAAGATCATCTAAGACGGCCCAAAAAGCCCGCAAGAGCCCTCCAAAACGGCCCACGAGGCCTCCAAGACGTCCTCCAGGAGGGCCCGAAGAGGTCAAAATCATTGATTTTCCATTGGTTTTTGAAGGATTTTGGTATGTGCTCCTTTTCGGCCTTCCGACGGCTCAAGACAGCCCAAGAGGCCCCCAAGATCGCCCAAGAGGCCTCCAAAAGGGCCCCATGACGGCCCAAGTGGCCTCCAAGACGGCCCCAAGAGGGCCGAAAGACGGCCCAAGAGGCCTCCAACACGCCCAAGATTTCCTCCAAGACGGCCCCGAAGCGCCTCAAGAGGGCCCCAAGTCGGCCCAGAAAGGCCCCCAAGACGGCTCCCGACGGCGTCAGACGTGCCAGAAACCCACCAAGATGGCCGAAGTTGCCTCGAAGCTGGCCCAAGACGGCCCAAGAGGCCCCCAAGAGGGCCTCCAGGAGGGCCAGAAGAGGCCCAAAACATTGATTTTCCTAAGGTTGTTCTACGGATGTTGACATTTGCTTTGTTTCGGCCTTCTGACGGCCCGAGACGGCCCCAGAGCTCCCAAAGAGAGCGGAAAGATCGCCCAAGAGGCCTCCAAGATGGCCCCAGAACGGCCCAAGAGGGCCCCAAGACGGCCCCAAGAGACCCCCGAGACGGCACAGGAGGCCTTTAAGACGCCCAAGATGGCCTCCAAGACGGCCCTGGAGCATTCCAAGAGGACCCCAGTCGGCCCATCGAGGCCCCCCAAACGGCTTCCGACGGCGTCAGACGGACCAGGAGCCCACCAAGACGGCCGAACATGGCCCTAAGATGGCCCAAGACGGCACAAGAGACCTCCAAGACGGCCTCCAGGAAGGCCCGAAAAGGCCAAAATCATTGATTTCCCATTGGTTTTTGAAGGATTGTGGCATTTGCTTTTTTCTGCCTTCCGACGGCCCGAGACGGTCCAAGTGCCCCCAAAGATCGCCCAAGAGGCCCAAGACACGGCCCCGAGAGGCCCCCAACACGGCCCAAGAGGCCTCCAAGACGCTCAAGATGGCCTCCAAGACGGCCCAAGAGCCCTCCAAGACGTCCTCCAAGAAGGCCCGAAAGTGTCAAAATGGCCTCCGGACTGCCAAGATGACCTTCAAGATGCCCACGCGTTCCCCGAAGGCTGTCCAAACCGATGCGGGGAACACATGGTCCGATAGCTTGGCAGGTCTGGCCTCAACGTTCGGCCACATAGGCGCTTCCAAAAAGACAGGGGGCGGCGGTGATTCGCCGTAGGCGTCTTCGATCCGCCGCCCCCTGTTGATTCATCACAGGGGTGCCTGGCGTGCTAGATGATGTCGGTTTTGGTTTGGGTCCTTTTCCAAAAGAACTCCCCCTGGGGCTCCGGCGCGTCCAGCCGGGGCCCCGTGACGGAACTCCAGGCCCACACGACCTCAACGTCCGCAAAAAATGATCCAAGACGACTCAAGATGGCCTCCAAGACGGCCAAGATGGCCCTCAAGCTCGCCCAAGATGGTCCAAGACGGCCTCCCAGACGGCCCAAGAGGGTCCAAGATACGTCAAAGTTCGCCCAAGAAGCCTCCAAGACGGCCCAAGAGGCCCCCAAGAGGTCCTCCAGGACGGGCCCGAAGAGGCCAAAATCTTTGATTGTCCTTGGGATTCAGAAGAATTTGGGCATGTGCTTCTTCTCGGCTTTTCGACGACCCAAGACGGCCCAAGAGGCCCCCAAGATCGCCCCCACAGCGCTCAAGAAGCCTCCAAGATGGCCTAAGGACTGCCCAAGAGGCCCCCAAGACGGCCCCAAGAGAGCACATAGACGACCCAAGAGGCATCCAAGACGGCTTCCGACGGCGTCAGACGGGCCAGGAGCCCACCAAGATGGCCGAAGTTGGCTCGAAGCTGGCCCAAGACGGCCCAAAAGGCCTCCAAGAGGGCCTCCAGGAAGGCCAGAAAAGGCCGAAAACTCTAATTTTCCCTAGGTTCCAAGATGGCCCCCGAACGGCCCAAGAGGCCCGCCCGCAAGACGGCCCCAAGAGGCCCCCAAGACGGCCCAGGAGGCTTTTGAGACGCCCAAGATAGCCTCCAAGACGGCCCTGGAGCATTCCAAGAGGGCCCCAAGTCGGCTCAGAGAGGCCCCCCAAACGGCTTCCGACGGCGTCGGACGGGCCAGGGGCCCACCAAGACGGCCGAACATGGCCCTAAGATGGCCCAAGACGGCCCAAGAGGCCTCCAAGAGGGCCTTCAGGAAGGCCCGAAAAGGCCAAAATCATTGATTTCCCATTGGTTTTTGAAGGATTGTGGCATTCGCTTTTTTTCTACCTTCCGACGGCCCGAGACGGCCCAAGTGCCCCCAAAGATCGCCCAAGAGGCCCAAGACGGCCCCAAGAGGCCCCCAACACGGCCCAAGAGGCCTCCAAGACCCGCAAGATGGCCTCCAAGACGGCCCAAGAGCCCTCCAAGACGTCCTCCAAGAAGGCCCGAAAGTGTCAAAATGGCCTCCAGGCGGCCAAGATGACCTTCAAGATGCCCACGTGTTCCCCAAAGGCTTTCCAAACCAATTCGGGGAACACATAGTCCGATAGCTTGGCAGGTCTGGCCTCAACGTTTGGCCACATAGGCGCTTCCAAAAAGGCAGGGGACGGCGGCGATTCGCCGTAGGCGTCTTCGATCCGCCGCCCCCTGTTGATTCATCACAAGGGTGCCTGGCGTGCTGAATCCTTTCGCTTTTGGCGTTGGTTTTTTCCAAAAAAAAACTCTCCCCGGGGCGTCGGCCCGTCCCGCCGGCCACCCGGAAGGGACCTCAACGATCGCAATAAATCCTCCAAGACGACTCAAGATGGCCTCCAAGATGGCCACGTTGGCCCATGATGGCCTCCAAGATGGCCGGCCCAAGATGGCCTCCAAGTCCGCCAAAGATGATCCAAGATGGCCTCCAAGACGGCCGAGAGAGTCCAAGATGCCTTCAAGTTCGTCCAAGAAACCTCCAAGACGCCTCCAAGACGGCCCAAGATGGCTCCAAGATGGCCTACGACTGGCCAAGAGGCCCCCAAGAGGCCTCGAAGACGTTCTCCAGGAAGGCCCGAAAGGGCAAAAAATCAATTAATTGTCCGTAGGTTGTTGAAGGATGTTGGCATTTTCTTCTTATCAGCTCTCCGACGGCCCAAGACGGCCCAGGAGGCCCCCAACATCGTCCCAAGAGCGCCCAGCCCAAGCGGCCTCCAAGATGGCGCCATGACAGCCCAAGAGGGCTCTAAGAGGGCCCTAAGAAGAGTCCAAGACGGCCTAAGATGGCCCCGAAGACGCCGAAGATGGCCTCCAAGATGCCTCCAAGACGGACAAGAAGGCCTCCAAAACAGCGAAGATGGCCCAATATGCACCCAAGACGGCCCCAGATGGCCTCAAGATGGCCTTAGACTGCCCAAAAGGCCCGCAAGAGGCATCCAAGACGGCCCAAGAGCCCTCCAAGGCCCTAAAGGGAAAAAATTGCCTCCACACGGCCAAGATGACATTCAAGATGCCTCCAAGACGGGCACTATGGCCCAAGCTGGCCTCCAAGATGCGTCCAAGACGGCCAAGATGGCACCAAAAGAGCCCAAGATCACTCCAATTTGGCCTCCATAACGATCCAAACAAAAATGCCTCAAGACCGCCAAGATGGCCCAATTGAGCCCCAGAGCGCCTTAAGAGGCTCCCAAGAGGACTCTTCCTCCCTTCCCCTTTTTCCTCGCTCTCCTCCTCTTCCCCAACCTCCTCCACGTGTTCCCCGAAAGCTGTCCAAACCGATTCGGGGAACACTCGTCGGCCAGCAGGCCCCAAGACGCCTCCAAAAGCTCACAAGAGCCCCTAAGTGGCCCCGTCCTCCCCCACGTGTTCCCCGAGGGTTTTCCAAACCGATTCGGGAAACACATGGTCCGAAAAGCTGACAGGGTTCTGGCCTCAACGTTCGGCCACATAGGCGCTTCCGAAAGGGCAGGGGGCGGCGGTGCATCGCCGTAGGCGTCTTCGATAAAGCCAACGTCTCAATATACGTTGATGATTCCTACCCGCCCCCCATGATGTTCCAAGATGCGCCAAGGCATCGCCGAGACGCACCGACGCGACTCTGATACATCCCATTATGAATGCCAGCGGCAGTAAGGGGCAAAGCCCTTACGGATACAACAGAACACCAACTATCCACCCACCACCGGCCTTTGCCAAGCCCGCACTGAGCCCACAATCCGTGTCTGCGCCCTCCAGAGCGTCTCCGCAGATCCTGGGCCCAGCGTGGGCCTGGCCAGGCTTGGTGCAGGTGTTCAGTTGGCGTCCCCCGAGGGCGGGAAGAGCAGGGGGTGCGCCGCAGTCGAAGACACATTCAGCGTCGAGCTGCGTGGGCAGCCCGCCGCCCGCGCAGGCTTTCCAACAGGACAGGCGTACCAAGCCGCGCATATACCCCGCCTAAAGCACATCAGGCGGCGCCCGAGGTGCTCTGGGCATGAGAGTCGCATCATCCAGACATCCCTTCGCCCAGTATCGCTTCGCCCAAGGTAAATTTCGCACGGGTAGCGCTTTGCCTGGGTATCGCTTTGCCCGTGTGGCTTCGCCCTGGTACCGCATCGCCCACAAATCGCTTCGCCCGCGTATCGTTTCGCTGGAACCGTTTCGCCCGAGTCCCTTCGCACCGACCCGCCCGCCAAAGTCCGCCAACTCTCCCCACGTGAATCGTGAAGGCCCGCCCGCCCGCCAAGGGATAGCCCGAGCCCAGCCCGCTCGTCCAGGATCCAGCCCGCTCGCTTGCGGCGCGAGAGCCAGCCCAACTCCATGCCCTGGGCCGCCCCCATGCCTGCCTTCGGACGGCGATGCGGAAAAGGAGGAGGACGAGGAGGAGGAGGAAAACGATGAGGAGCATGAGGAGGGGCGGGCGGAGGCGGAGGAGGAGACAGAGGCGGAGGAGGAGGAGGCGGAGGCGGAGGAGGAGGCGGAGGAGGCGGACAAGTTGGAGAAGGCGGCGGAGGAAGCAGAGGAGGAGGCGGAGGCGGATGAGGCGGAGGAGGCGGTGAAAGAGGCGGAAGAGGCGGACGAGCAGGAGGGGGCTCTCCTGTGTGCTTGGCCAGGTAAAAGGTCTCAAAGCGGCTGCAGCACTCCTGCCAAAGGGGGGAGGCGCCGCGCCCCCGGGGGCGAAGGACGGCGGGGGGCCGTGGCGAGCAGCACGATGTGGAGTTCTCACGCTCCTCCTCCTCCTCCTCCTCCTCCTCCTCCTCCTCCTCCTCCTCCTCCTCCTCCTCCTCCTCCTCCTCCTCCTCCTGGGAACAGCTTGCGCTAGGCCAGTCTGGTTCATGGCGACCAGGGGCCTGGAAAAGGATCTAGGACGCGTCTGGTCCTGGGGTTCCTTGCCTTGGCTCATCTGGCCCGGCCTTCCTGTTTGGAGGGGGAGCCCTTTGGATAACTGGGTTATCGCGCATTTGCAACGTCAGTTGGGCGCTGGCAAACTTCCCCCGACAAATTAAAACGCTGGTGCCCCGAGCCGCCACGCAGTTCACACCACCAAACCCCGCGCACGCACCGAATTCTGTGGGACGCGTGGATTTGATTGGGAAAGCCCAAACAGGGAGAGCTCAACCATAGTTTGATTGGCAAGACTCGACTCGGTGCCGTCAGGCACTTCTTACAGACAGAGCTTCCATTCCCGCGAATTGAAACCGAATGGGAGATAGCTTCGAGGGCATTTATTATGGCAGCGACCCTTTCATCTTGGCTGGCTCGCTTGGCGGCTAATAAATCTGCAGGGGTATAGCCCCTGGAGCGCGCGCGTCCTCATCCTTAACCTTGGCCTCCTCCGGGCCGACCACAAGAAGGCGGTCCAAAACACGGGGCGCCAAAGCATCAAACCGAGAAACTTGGGCCGGGACGTCCTGGGGCAGCCTAGCTAAGGACGCTCCGCGCTTTGCTGCTTCATCTGCCGCTTCGTTAACTCGAAAGTGCCTTTCCCCAACTTGGTGGCCAAAATCGGCCTCCGTTACGTGGCCCTTGATTGTTTGAAACTTGGCCTGCCCAAGCCACTGCTTAAACTCGGAGGGCGCGCCGCTGGATCTCCCCAAGGGGGGGGGGGGGGCACCCCGGACCCCCCCCCCCTTTCCCTGATCCGTCGTCGGGGACCCGCCCCCCCTCCCACCCTTTCCCGATCACTAATCCTCACCCGTACACCCTAACCCCTAACCCTCTAACCCCAGACCCTAACCCTAGCCCCAAACAGTACTCTCTACTCATTACGTACTACTCACTACCCACTACTCCCCACTCGATGCTCACTATTCACTTCTCACTACTCACTTCTCACTACAGACTTCTCACTACTCACTACCCACTAATCACTACCCACTACTCACTACTCCCTACTGCCTACTCCTTACTCACTACTCACTACTCACTACACACTACTCATTATCCACTACTCAAGACTCCCTACTCACTAAACACAACTCACTACCCACGACTCACTACTCACTAATCACTACTCACTACCACTAACCACTATCCAGTACTCACTACTCACTACTCACATTTCACGACTCACTACTCACTGCCCACAACTCACTACTCACTATCCACTACTCGCTACTCGCTACTCCCTCCACAGTACTCACTACTCATTACTTACTACTCGCTACTCCCTACACCCTACTCGCTACACAATACGCACTATTCACGACCCACTACTCACTACTCACTACGCACTACTCATTGCTCACTGCTCCCTACTCCCTACTCACTAGTCACTCGTCATTAGTCGCTAGTCACTACTCACTACTGTCTACTCTCTACTCACCACTCACTATTCACTATTCACGACCCACTACGAACTACCCACTCGTCCCTTCTCACTATTCACTACTCACTTCTCCCTACCCAATACTCACTACTCGCTACTCACCACTCACTACTCGCTACTCACTACTCGCTTCTCACTACTCACTACTCGCTACTCACTACTGACTGATCCCTCCTCACAACGCCCTGCTCGCTACTCATTGCTCACTACTCGCTACTCACTACTCGCTACTCACTACTCACCACCCACTACCCACTACCCACTACTCACTACTCACTACTCACTACGCACTACTCACTACTCCTTACTCACTACTCACTACTCACTACTCACTACTACCTACTCTCTAATCACTACGCATTACTCACCACTCACGACTCAATACTCACTACTCACTACTCACTACTCACTGTGCACTACCCACTACTCACTACTCACTACTCATTACTCACCACACACTATTCATTACCCACTATGCACTACTCACTACTCCCTACTCCGTAATCCCTACTAAGTACTCACTACTCATTGCTCACTACTCACTACTCGCGACTCACTACTCGCTACTCACTACTCACTACACAGTATTCACCACTCACTGATCAGTACTTTGCAACTCAATACACAGCAATCCCTATTCACGACCCACTACTCCCCACTCCCCACTCTCGATGCCCTACTCGCTACTCACCACCCACTACTCACTAATGACTATTCACTATTCACCACGCACTACACACTACTCAATACTCACTACTCACTACACACTACTCCCTACTCCGCACCCCCTACCCACCTTCTCCGGCGCAGAAAGGAGAAGCGGGAGAAGCCGCCCCCCCCCCTCGCCTCCTGTCCGGCGCAAAGGGGAGGGAGGGGGCGGGGCCCAAACCCCCTCCCCCCACCCCTTCCAGCGCCCCGGGGGAAGCGGGGGCGGTCCGAACACCCCCCCTTGAGGGGGGGGAGGGTTCGGACCCCTCCCCCTTCAGAAGGGGAAAGGGGGGGGGTCTGGAGGGGGGGTGGGGGGGTGGTTCTGCGAGCACCCCCTATTCTTTCAATCACAAGGTGATCCAATGGCGCGCTTTCTCAAACTCGCGCCAAACACGGGCCCGGGAAGCAGCGTGGACGGGGCGGGACGTCATCTGGGCCATCTTGGATCGCTTGCAAACCGCAGGCGCAGTCCACGACGAAAGTGGCGGACCCCGAGGTCTGCTTCAAGGCCTGGATTAGGCCCTCGAGCTCGACCAGAGGCACCGCCTGGTGCCGCCACAAGATCGACCCCCAGGCAGTCCCCTGCATACCCCGTTGCACCACGCTGCAAAGCCCCATCCACACCCACGGAGCCTCTCCGCCGCCATCAGCTCCCACGCAAGCCCCAGGGGGGAGTTCAACACGAAACCTCTCCTGAATGACTCTTTCTGCCCGAAGCTCCCACTCTGGCCATTTGTCGACGCGGGATGAGATCCACATGACGGGGGCCACTCCTCGGCGCCGGGAACATGGCCAGTCCTTGCGTTCCCCATGGAGCTGCGGAAGAAGGTCGAAGGCCGCCCCCTCGGACGGCCCCAGGCGCGCGCATGTCAATTGCCTGTGGAGCAGGTCTTCTGCCTGCAGAGGGCGGGCGCGAGCAGCTCGGCGCCTGGGAGCCCTTGCCCCTGGCCGCAGCGCCCCCGTGGCGAAGCGTTCTAACATGGCCGCATCACCGCGCTCGCGCATACGTCTGAGCTTCCTGAGCTCCCGCTGGGGAGCGGTCAGGCCTCCAAACTTTGAGCATATCCCGCCGAAACGTTCGGGGGCAATGTCTTGTCAGATATGCTGCCCCAGGGGCCCGTCGACTCCGCCAACGCGCACTTCTGCCACCCATGATATAGAATTCGGCTCGTTCTGGCGGGGCCTCTCGCGGGGGAAAGTAGAACTCTTCACCGAGGGGCGCTTTCCACTGCCACGGCTACTGCGGGTCCCATCGGTTCTGCGGAAGGGTAACCGCGAGGGAGCTGATGGGCCCTGCGGCCCTTCCCCAGGGGTTCTTGGCCTCGCGCATGACACCGACGCACTTCTTCCAGGCGGCAGCAAACACAACTCTCTTATTCATCAGCCTGGGCAGGATGTCCGGCCAGGCGCTGATCACGCCTAGGCGCGCTAAATAAAACGGGTCGCCCTTGCAGCCGGGGCCGGGACGAAGAGCCACGGTGGTGCACATCCCTGCTCGTCGCTTCCACTGGCGAGGCCCCTTGGGCCATCATGCCCCAGGAAGCGCGCGGCTTCACGCCAGCAAGGCTGAGCTTGATGGCCCGCTTGTTAACCAGCGCAAGACGTCGCGCTCTCTTGGCCCCGGCGAAAGGCTTCTCGAGGCGACCCTGAGCAAACGCTGGCGAACGTCTGCAAGAAAATATCCAGGCCTAGGTCTCTAACCTTGCTGGAGACTTGCACGTGGACGTCGGCCTGGGCGAGCGCTCGTTTCTTCGGCCCCCGAGAAGCTGCGATGTCTCGGAGAATCGAAGTCCCTTGGCTCTCGCGGCTGCAACCAGGTCCGGGGCCCCTTGGATGGCGAGGTTTTTCACGATCTCCTGGAGCCCCCTGGTCGAGAGCGAGATGTCGCCCACCCAAGCGCCGAGCTCCATGGGCCGATGCCGCGCATGCGCCGTGGCAAGCACGTCGCGCAGGTATGCGCGTGTCCACGCGACGCTCCGCACGCACCCCCCGGGGGTCGATCGCTGCGCGCCGATGCAGCCCGACGCCTCCGGGCCCACAGCGAGGGGCCGATCTTCAGCGCGCACGCACATGCCAACGCGCATGGCGCGAACATGATAATCAAGTCCACTGCCTAGTGAGTAGATCCAGAAAGGGCTGCGCGCGTCGAAACACTTCTCTGCATCTAGGAGGGGGATCGCACAGTCGATTCAAAGCCACGCTGCTGCCTCCGCCATGGCTATCCTGAGGAGGGCGGCCATCAGCGGATCGGGCCCTCGCGCGGCTGCATCCCAGATTGGGCTTTCTCCCAGTGGACGACTGGTTCTTTCCAAAGTCGGGGCCACGTGCAGCACAGCCCCTGGGCCTCGGCGATAGGTCGGCCCCCTTTCCCCTGCGGGCTTGGGGCGCAGACCGACTTCATTGATAAGAATTTGCTCTGGACAAGCGCACCTGATCTCTACGTCGCCCAAGAGGGCCTCGAGCTTGCATCGCCCTTCATCCGGCAGGTTCCACCAGCGCAGCGGATTCCACTGGTCGGCCCCCGTACCCATAGTGGTCGGGAAAGACTCGAACGCAGCAGCGACACCTGACTTGGGAAATTGCGGACGATCAGGGGCGGCGGCTTGG